GCCTCTCTGCTTCCTTTTCCCCTGGGCAGCCCGTTGCCACGCAGCACAGTGCACCGCATGGAGGCAGCTGGCACAACGTCGCGTCGGCGAACGTCCACACTTCCAGCACAGCGTAGCCAGCAGCCTCCCCTCCTTTCAGCATCTTCTTCATGGTCTTTTACTCTATATAACTATTAGATACTGCGTATTATTATCATTATTATATCGTCGTCTTCTCGCTTTTTTTTTTTTTTGTTTTCTTCTCCTTTTTTGCTCCTAAAACAAGAAAATGCCCCACTTTTTCCCTCTTTAGGCCGAACCCCTTGCGACGCTTGCTGCCACGCACCGCAGCTTCTTGCACCACGCGCCGCCCGCGCCCACGCCGCCCCTGCGCCCCGCTCTGACTGGCCGACCCCTGACCCGCGGTGCGCCCACGGCCCTAACGTCTTCGCCCCACGCCCCGGACCCCCTTTGGCCCTTTCTTCGTCTGGCTTCTTCGTCGACCTCGAACTTCGCAACTTCAACTTCGTTCAAGTTCACCACCAGCTTCATCTCAGTCACTCATTTGAACCCCCAGTCGCTCTCTTAGTTGCTGTTTCGCCCGCCGTCCTCGCTGCAGGACTCGCTCCCACGCTCGTTACCAAGGCACGCCCTGCCTGTCTGTCACCCTTTACCCAGTACGTTGCTCTCCTGGCTGTCTTGTCGCCTGTCAGCGTCGAGCCTCATCACCCGTGACAGGTGCCATCGCAGAATGGAGATGCACACTGCCATGGATGGAGAGACGAATAGAAAAAGGGGAGAGATATGCTGACACGGCCGTTTTATATATAGTCCCTCTTTACGATGAAGTTCTCCTCGGGCATCCTGTCGCTGGCCGTTGCCGCCTCAGTCCAGTCGGTCCAGGCCTCCTACCACGCCCATGGCCATGCCCATCACCACCGCGTCCTCAACAAGCGCGCAGACCCCGATGTAGTCACCATTCCCGGCCCCAAGGTCTATGCCTTCATTCTCAACGGCAGCGAGATGTCCAAGGAGCAGGTTTGCGCCGGCATCAGGGACGGCAGACTGGACTGGAGCGGCCAGAACCATGACGAACTGTGCGGCTTCCCTGTTGGCATGCAGAAAGGATCTCCTCCGGCCTGTCCGGCACCCTCTTACGTTCCCAGCCCGCCTGCAGCGCCCTCGTCTCCCCCAGCTGCTCCACAGCCTCCCTCCAAGAGCCCAGAAACGCCAGAGGAACCCAAGAAGCCAGAAGAGCCAAAGAAGCCAGAAGGGCCCAAGAAGCCAGAGGGACCTAAGACTCCCAGCCCCAAGAAGCCTGATGGTCCTCAGCACCCCCAGACTCCCACTGGTGGTGAGGGTGTTAACCGTCCATTCCCCGACGGCGAGATTGACTGCGGTGACTTCCCATCCAAGTACGGTGCCGTCCCCGTTGACTACCTAGGCCTCGGCGGCTACACTGGCATCCAGCATACCACTCTTGTCGGTGAGGTCTTTGGGACCATCCGCACTGCCATTGCCGGCGAGTCCTGCACTGACGGAGCTATGTGTTCTTACGCTTGTCCCCCCGGCTACCAAAAGTCCCAATGGCCTGAACAGCAAGGCTCAACTGGAGAATCCGTTGGTGGTCTTGCATGCCGCAACGGTAAACTCTACCTCACCAACAGAAAATTATCTACCAGACTTTGCATTTCTGGCGTTGGTGGCGTCCACATCAAGAGCACCATCAGCGTGGAAATCTCAATCTGCAGAACCGATTACCCAGGCACTGAGTCTGAAACTGTTCCTGTTCCTCTCCCGCCACATGGCCATTTGCCCTTGACTTGCCCACAAGCCGAAACCTACTACTTCTGGCAAGGAAAGTCCACTTCTGCGCAGTACTATGTCAACCCACCCGGTTACGGTCCCGCAAAGGCTTGCCAGTGGGGTCATGCCGGCTTACCCATTGGCAACTGGGCTCCTGTCAACATTGGTGTTGGTGAAAAGGGAGGCGTCAAGTGGCTGTCCATGTTCCCCAATCGTCCTACCACCACCGCCATCCTGCACATGACCATCGAGATTGTCGGAGAGGGCCTCTCGGGCAAATGCAAGCATAAGGACGGCAAGTACTATACTGATACCGGCGTTAACGAAGATGGATGCACCGTAAGTTCACTCAATCCAGCTACTCTGCTACTTCCGTTACTAAATAACATTCTAGGTCTCCGTCCTACACGGTGAAGCAACCTTTGTCTTCTCCTATGATTAGACCAGCTCACGATACATCTAGCTTGTTAATGATCCCTCCATCCCTCTCCCTACCTCTGGCTCCCTTACTCCTCCTCGTCCTTGCTCGCCGCTGCTTTGATTCCCTTGCTTCTCCCTCTTATACTTCACCACCTTACTTCACTTCGCTCTATCTATCTTATATACTCACCATTGTAGTTAAAGACTTTCCCTATCTTCCCAGTCCACTCGTGTACCCCCAGTTCCTCGCCTTGCCGCTACCATTACTCCACGCGCAACTGACCACCTAGTATCTGTATTTTCCCCCCCTCGTCAGGTTAAAAGGTCCGTTAAGTTTTGTTATTGTTTATTGTCTATTAGATGAATTTACTTTCTTTCTCTCTTTTTACTTTTATACCAGTTTTTTTTTTCCCCACCTTCCCACGTCTGATGATCTCGATGCTTACTCTTAAGCTCTCTCCGTACGTGGCGTGGCGCTCATGCAGACTAGACTGTCTATCATTTACCAATAATAATAATACCCTTTGTTCTCATCTGCCGTCCACGCCTCTTTTCGTCTAACTACCAGTAATCTCTCTGATAACCTGCCGTGTCTGTCTCCTTGCCTGTCATATAAAAGGGGTTCCTTTTCCCTATGTCGTACTTCATACCCCATACCTCTACAACACTACCTACATCTACTTCACACTCATATCACCTTCTAAAAAATCTAACCCGTCCACTACCAAAATGGTCCTCCTCAGCGCCCTGCTCGCCTTATCCTCCGCCTTGACTGTCCTCTCTGTCCCAGGAGACCACCTTGTAAGCCTACCACAACACTACATCCTATACCCATATTAACCATCTTCCAGGGAGTCATCGTGAACAACCGATGTAACGGCGATGTCAGGGAAACACTCATCGATAGCGACTGCTACCCATATGAAGACACCACGTAAGTCTACACACACACTCTCTCTCTCTCTCACGCTTCACACCTACTAACTCTATAACCAGGGGTGTCAACGCCACCATCCCTATCAAATGCAACTTCTACGCGTACGTTAATCGACTACTTTTCTGTCTTGAGGCTGGCTGCTTGTATGTGCTAACGGTTGACCAGAACGAATAACTGCACCGAAGTCGAGCTTTTTGACGGCGGCTGCGCGGTCCTGACCGAGTTGATCGCAAAGGATGAGAAATTTTTCAAGTGTGTCTCTGCAGAGAATTAGCGATGGGGAAAAATTGTTACGGGTTTACGTACGAAGTCAAATGACTGCTCTATATATGACTGGAAGGCACTTTGTTTAGGATAGTAAAGAGAACTCATTTTGGGCATCGTGTTTCTCTCACCGTCACAATTGACTCTGATACTGCGTGGAGCTTCCTATTCGCCACCCGCAAAATTGGGGCTTTTTTAAGGTTTCGGTGGAGACGTAAACAATGCATAATTCGTGGTCATAGCTTAACTATTTATGCCCGTCCGCGAGTTAAAACATTAGTTATATTGTGTCTAGTTGTAGATGGTTTACTAGCTGTCTGTGTTGGAGCCAACATGTCTGCATATACTCAGGAACCAACGAGTTAATTGCGTCCACGGCATACGGAACATTGATGGCCAACAATCATTGCAGTTCCAATTCCGATCGGCGGAGATAAAAGTAAAATCCCTTATCCTTGCACATCACACTTCGATGAAGTGTTGATCCTTCGTTACACTACAGGTCCCAAATTTGAGTCCAGGCCGAGAAGGGAGCTACGTGCCCCAATCGTCGTACATGTACTTATATAAACATCGTTCTCATCGACAACCCAGATAGTAGGTTCAGGTTAGGCATCAGTCTACTTCTTTTACCGCCCTCTAGCTACTCTCAGGAAATCCAAACTCTTCACAATGCGTTTCTTCCTCGCTTCTCTTTTGCTGGCTGCGGCCGCTCTTGTCAGCGCCGACTCAGGCGATAAGATTGTATGTGCCGCTACTTACGCCACATGGACAATATCTGATGGAAAACGATCCTAACATGGTGACAGGGAACCGTCCATCACGACCAGGAGTGTGCCTCTGAGGGCATTGACCTTATTGACGGCCGATGCACTTCATACTCTCAAGGGTATGCTCATACACTGCTTAAACCAACAATGTGTTCCATATCAAACTGCTAACTTATTCGCAGGTCCATCAACTTGACTGCTGACGCCGCTATTTGCTATGCTTTCCTGTATGTCAACTACTCTTATCTGGTCCTATTATATACCCACGATACTAACAATGCCTCTTAGAGATGGAGAGTGTAACCAGGTTACTACTCCAGACGGCGTCAAGTTCGAGAAGGGATGTGAGCTTACTGAGAAGTTGGACAGAAGTGCAGATTTCCTCATTTGCTATGGAGAGTCCCGGAGCGATGGGGGTGTTATGTAAATTATTGAACCATGATATACACAGAACATAATGACCCTGATGATTTGCATCGTCAGGTAATCCCGGACACATAGAATGAAGAAAATGACCATATACATGCCCACGTCGCAAAGCTGAGATGCTCCGTACCTGTTGTACTCGGTTCTTCAACGAAGATCAGGCAGTAGTGATACTTCGACTTCCAGCCCTGCGCAGACATAAAATATGATTTTACAACCATTGAGTTATAATGAATCTAAACTGAGTGGCAAAAGCGGCTTGTTGTATTTCTTATGACTCTCAATGACTTAAAGTTGAGGTGCAGGGATGACTGAATGCGGCAGTTTGCTGGGGTATCGAAGTTTGACCATAGCCATCCATGTTCGCAGCACTGTTCACCTCCTGGTATCAGCGAAGTTTACTGGTCAAATGGCCAGAGCGATTCAAACACTTCGGAATTCCAGCCAGGATATGTCTTGAATTCATCGATGATCTCGCTTTTCACTTGTCGAAGTGCTGCTTTCGCTGCTTCGTAGTTTTCATGCTCCACCACGCCTTTCTCCGGCCACAAGTTTCCGAGTCGTCGCTCTATTAGCTTCATAGTCCGAACACCCAGCTCTGCTCGTTCCACATCAGCTTCAATGGAATCGACCTCTTTGTCAGTGAACTTAAGTGGGAATAATGACGTTCCTGAATTCGTCCATTCATCTCGTAGATCTAGCAACAGGGCAAGAAAGTGTGGTTCTCCAGCTTCAAATATTCGACGGGAAAGATGGAGGAGGTTACCAGCCGCTGACTACTGGAATCTTATGGCCTGGTGCTGAGACGGATTCTTATCTCGGACAAGGCGCCGCCACCCAATCATGATTACCTTGTCGAGATACTCTGCTACCGCTGTCTCCCTCTCTTCACCCTTGAGAGCCTTGATTGCATCGGTGAGCTCAGGCTTTTCCAGATTATCACCCACATCGGGGCCTTCATATCCAAGGAATGAAGGGTCTAGGCAATGGTCGGCTAAGGGTGCAATATGTGTGGATTGCCAGTCAATGATTCCTTGTACTTCGAGGCTGTCCGGATCAACAAATATATTCTCGTCGTGTAGATCATTATGCCAGAGATGTACCGTGTTAAGTGAAGGTTCTCGGGGTAGTAATATGTCTTGAATCTGCGAATAGTACTGTAGTGCTTCCAGTTTCTTTTCAGCCGAGGGCTGATACAGTGGGTTTGGACCGTAGAGCATTGCCAATTGCTTTGGCAGCCGTGTAATCGTCTTTACAGCCATCATCTCACGATCACCAACTGCCTTTCGATAATTGGCAACAGAACTCCCTATTATTAATACATTAATCACAGAGCAACAATCCTGCATAACAAAAGAGCGCTCTTACATGGGCCGCTGTTGCACTTTAGACCATCCCGACCAGCATCACTCCATTCACGATTGGTGCTAGGGCCAACAGTGAACCTGGGATTAAATGTAGCATGGCCATTTTCGAAGTAAAGAGGTTCATTGGATGCCGTGGGTATGTTTTCGGTATAATATAGGCTTCCGATCTGGGAAAAATTCACGCTCGTCCACCTTCTCATATACCGCGCAATCTGAGCAAAGACCTTGAGCTTCTGTTTAAGTTTTAGATTCCACCAGATTTCAGAGAGCTGGACGCCAGGAATCTTTTCCATGACGATATATTCGGCTCCGACTGGGTTATTTTTTGTGTCTGTGGATGCATTCCATGCATACACTCGTGGAGCAGGAGTCTGAAGAGATTTCCGCGCAAATTCCATAGTTGCAACTTCACTGGCAGTGGTATAGTAAGGTACTCCGGCATTTGGGTTGGGTAGTTTTGCGACAACTTCCTTGCCATTATCCATTGAGAGGACGAATGCCTTGTTATAAAGCCCATCAGGGCATCTTTGGATCCCAACGCACTTTGTTGCGCTTGTTGCGCCCGCTGCTACTGAAGCAAGAGCATGCATATCAAATCGGATGCGACGCTTATCCATTTGTTCATTTTCGTCGAAAATGAATCGCCCACGTGTATATTCAATGGCCTTCCCATCACGTACGCGCTCTATTGCTGGTAGTCGACTGGCACTCGCGAGCAAGCTGTTTCTCCGTGTAGATAATAGTCTAGAGTGGACCCTAGCCAACCGAAGGACATGCGTAATAGGCCAATTGATCATTTTCCTTGACTGATACACTTTACTCCAAGGAATGAGAGATAGATCTGTCTTTTTTTTTTCCTTTTAGACCAACTTGATGTTCATTTCGTGAATGAGACACAAATGCCAAGAGAAAACTCATCCGCCGGTAACTAGCTACCCATAAAGCTAGCCAGTTACGGAGTATAATCATCTGAAAAGGAGCTACCATTGAATAAGAGGCTCCCAGGCCTCTTGACCCTCATTCTCAAAACCCATCTCTGATTATGCCATTTGCCTTTTCTTCGGCCATCCTTTCATTGTTAATTTTCCACCACCAGTCATGGGTTTCATCAGTGACTGAATATCTCTTCTGCTTGCTGCCCCAACCCTCTAGGTCTTCATCGTCCCAGGGCTTTGAGCTTAGTATATAATGCAGATTTTTCACTTTATAGTCTCTCCAGATTTGTGAATGAACTCCTGGCCATCTCATGGGCTTCAGAGCGTTGTATATATATGGGAGAGGTACCCAGCGCTTTTGGTAAATGTCTGAAAGCAAAGACTGATCGGCAAAAGCATATCGCATGGTTGCTGTGGGGTCTTCAAGCTGGCAGAGAATGGTATTATATATCTCCTCCGAGGGATTAAGCACAAGAAGTCCTCCGTTTAGCATTGTTTCCCTTCTCCCTGTGGGAGGACCTTGGACTTGTGCTTGATCGGGGTTACTGTGCTGACTGCTATAAGCACAGTTCTTCGGGAACCTGGTGGGATGAGATAAGCAATGATATCTAGTCCAAACGGTCATCAACGTACCAATCACTCGGATAATGTGGTATATCCAATGGGTTACAAGTGCAAGCATGACATGCAGCAAACACTCTTTGGCCTCGGCCTCCTAAGGCAGCATCATCTAGTTCAAGGTCCATCAATTCGTCCATATTCTGGAGTACGAGCATGTCACTATCCAATTGCACGACGCGATCGTACTCGACAAGCGAGAAAGACGCCAGCTTGCTCCAACAGTTATAAAAACGAACATCATTGCCATAGTCTTTATGTACCGTGGGCTGAAGGAAGGATATATGTCGCGTAGGAATACGCCTAGCCTTTAGAATATTGAGGCCTTCGGAAGGCAGGCCATCCGTAAATAGGGCTACAAGAGGGTACTTTGACCCCGACTTCTTGAGGGAGTAGTCCAGCGTTAAGAGACCCGTTAGATAGCTAAGATTAGTGACTAACGCAGTCCAAACTACCAAACCAAAGTGATGTCACTTAACTAGGTCAAAAATCGAGTAGTGGCAAACACGCACCTTTCTTGCTTTCTATCTTAATCTCTCCTGTCGAGTTCATATAGAAAAAGGTCCTGTGTTCCCGAGCTATTTATATTTTTGGAAACGCCATTTCACTGAGGCCGAGGATATACTTAGATCTGGACTGATTCGACTCAGCCCTGTATCCCTGTTAGATTTCAAACCTGGCTGCAGTAGTTCGAACTCAAAAACCCACAGACCAAGGCTCTGATTGACATCAACGGACCCAGATAATGCACGGTTTGATGCCGCTTCGAATACGGAGTATGTGTTCTTCTCATGCAACTAACAACCTTTTGAGAGCTCTGTATCGCATGGTTAGAGGGCTGGGCTGTTGTGTTATTCCGTCATTCCCTTGCGTGAGGTTGAAATAAGAAACGGGCAGGTGGGGCGCGGGTCTTGGCTCATCGCGAATTTCGAGATAAGATAAGATCCTATCACGTGAAAACCGCATGGTTCGTGTCACTTACATAAGCCGTGACCTGATTTACATAAGCAACTCACGTGCTTCTCTCTATGTTTAAGCGCGTCTCGAACTTCAACGTCGAAGCTTCACGGCCGCTCGAAGTGCACGCAGAACACCGCCTGGAGACATCTCGCTGACGGGCATTGCGGCGTGCGTTGCGTTGCTGGAGGGCGCTGTTCTGCAGCCGGACGTCGTGTGGTGTTTCACTTCGTCTTTCGCGCGGTATTACCGTCACGGGTCGTCCGTCCAGCCACCAAACGCGTCGCCTCCACCGTGTATACGTTTAATGACAGGCATCCTCCGGGGACCCTGACCGTGATCTTTTTCCCACACAATTCTTTTTACTCCTTTTTTCTGGTCTCGCGACCTCGAGGCGGCTCTGTTCTGACCACCGGCCACCGCAGAATTTCAAATAATCCCTCTGCTCTGCCCGCTCCGTCTCGCTTCTCTCGCTTGCCGCCGTGTCTAGTTTTTTTGTGTAATAAACAAAATACTTGATATCGTCTTTTCTGTCTCCACCCCATGAGCAAGAGAGAGAGCCCAAAATTCTTATGAACGATTCACGCCAGTGAAGGGTATCCAGAGCCGGTTTTGCAGCTGGTGGGCGTTGTCCCCTTTCTTCCTGTCAGCATGGACTCGTCTCCTCCGAGAAAGGTCCCCCAGGGGCAGTCTGCTGCGGGTGTGAAGCGTGCTGCATTGTTACCGCCGTTTGAGCCATGTTCGTCTCCGCCGCTCCCTCGACCAGCAAAGCGGAGGGTTCTCAAGGGCGAGGACTCGTTCTCGACGTATCCAACCCCCGTCCCAACTTCGTCAACTGCCATTCTAAGCTCGTCTCCCTCGCGTATCCCTCCTGCTCTTCAACGTACTCAGTCGGTCACCTCGGAACGCGCCCCTCTGTCAGACGTCCCGTGTGTAATGCTCGAGGAGGATGGCGAGCCCATTACCATGGGGAGATCGAGTGCTTCCTGCTCATATCAACTCTCGCCTAACCGTCTCATCTCGAGGGTCCACGTCAAGGCCTACTTCAAGCCTGCGAGCCACCCATTTGATAGGGATAAGATCGAGATTCTATGCATGGGCTGGAACGGTATCAAGCTGCACTGTCAGGGGAAAACCTATGAATTAGCCAAAGGAAAGACGTTTACTTCGGATATCAGGGATGCAGACGTGATGATCGATGTTCAGGACTCGCGTGTACTCGTTCAATGGCCACGTCCCGAACGAAAGGACTCAAATTCAGAACATACATGGGACGAATCGTCTCCTATTCGAAACGCAGACTCTCGTTCTCGTCACGGTTACTCGGAAAGCCCTCTCAAGTCTCGGGAAAGGCTACTGTCTCCTGTTTCTCCCTCCCCCGCCGTTCAATCCCTCGGTTCTGCCGATCCCTTGACATCCAGCCGCTCTGTACCCAATGCTGTTGTTGTCTATGAGGACGAACCCTCTCCCGTACGACCTAAAAAATCCACTACCGACCCCAAGTCTACCTCCCAAAGCACTGAGCGAGCCTCTATCTCGAGTGATGCCAATGCTAGAAACTCAATTTCTAGTAACCTAACAAAATCCGACGAGCTATCCGAACATGACGAAGAGAATGATCCAATCGTGTTTTCCTTCGGTCCATATGGAGAGAATCTCCTTCCTCGTATGGCTGCTGTCAATGCCAGAGATACCCCCACAGCTTCTCCCCACCAGAAACCCCTCAAACGCAGCGCTTCGGCTCGGGAATCATCATCTACAAAGGAGTCGACGGATTCATCCCGATCTGCAATTCAAAACCACATCATAAACCAACTAGCCTTCTCACGACTCTCTTCAACACCATTCTCAACTATTGTCAGCAATCTTCCTTCTGACCTTGTTGGTACCGGTTCGTCGAAGAAACCCAAGGTCTCCAATACTTTTATCAGATCCATCATTGAAGATACCAGATGCATTGGGACTGTTAACCGTAAAGGCAAAGATGCTGCGGGAAAACAATTGGAATGCGAGTATTACTATACCCCTGATCTCGATACAGACGAGATGAGAAAGCAAGCTGTTGTCAACGAACTACGAAAACCAGGACTACGGAACTGCAGGAAACAGCACAAGGTAATACACTCAATGCCACGTTCTATAATCGACATATTTCTAACTTTGTCTAGCAATACTTCTGGAAACGGCCCAAGACCCCATAAAAGTTGTCTACACTGCATTCCAGCATAAGGATGAGTTTTTACTGTTTCAGCAATTACCTCCAGTTATCCTCTCTTCAACAATGCCAACTAAAACTCCAAAAAAATTATTACCCATTTGGTCCCACGGGTTGCATCAGCGTAGCAGTGTGGAAGATTATTTACCCTGCTCCATGCGCGGAAGATGATGTATGACCAATAACGTCCTGACACTCTTCCCCCTTTATATCCCTTCCCGATTGTATTATGTTTAATTGATTTTCGAATTTCCTTTGTCTGGTTTCTCCTTTTTTTCCTTTTTTTTTTTTTTTTTTATCCTGGATGCCCCCAAAACAAACTCCCCCCCTAGATATTAGACATTCCCGCCGGCACTTGCCACCATTCTCACCTAGCCCCCTTTTGATGCCAATGAATAACATACCCAAACCCACCCTTGAAGTTGATGTTTTCTCCCCCTTTTTTCCTCTGCCATGCAGAAACATAACCCTGTTTAAAAAAAAAAACAAAAAACAAAAACATTGTTAATGAACTTACCTCTTACATGTCCCCCTCCCCTCTTCCCCCTCCTACCAACACCGCCAGATGTAAGTGTCAAAGCCCTGTGCAAAATATCCGATTACCAATACCTACCTTTTACCCACCCCTATATGGGTTATTTGTGTATCTCGGAGCTGTTAGGCTTTTTGTGTTAGGTTATTCAATCCAGTTCATTATGCATATCTATTTACCTACGGGAACCTAGCCCCCTTGTATCGTTTTTTACGTCCACGCTCATGGGAACCCGCTTCTCAAGTTGTCGTACTCACTCGTTGGGTAGTTCAGGTTATTCTCTCGCATCTCCAGCGCACCAGTGCCTCCGAATCCCTCTACGACCGTCTTAATCAAACTCCGTTCGTGGTCAACGGGATGGTCGCCACTTAGTTCCCACCACATTGCTCCGCCTAGCCCAACGCCTCTGATGTAGTCCACCTTCTTCCTGGTGATCAGCGGCGTATCGTAACTTATCATCTTTCTTTCACTGCCAGAATAACTCCAACTAGCACCTAGGTTCTCGTCATTGTACTCCTCGGCCCCGTCCTTGGGGAGAGCATGGTAATCCCAGATACCATTCTCCCAGGACCCTTCACCGACGCCCTGGAACGGTTTCCCGGGCCCATCTGTCTGTTCAAACGCCCGGCCGTACAGAGGCAGACCACAAATGATCTTTGCCGGGTGAACACCTCCAGCCATGTATGCACGGAGAGCAGCATCAATGGAGAACGTCGTGGAGGCAGGGTTATCCACGGACGGATAAAGGTTTGCCTGGTGTCCTGCGTTGCTGTCCCATCCACCTGCGAAATCGTAGCACATCATGTTCCAGAAGTCAAGGTATCGATCCATATCCGCCATACGGAGGACGGCATAGTTAGATGCTCCGCACGGCGCCGCAACGGTCAACAGCAGCCTACCGCCGTCTGGGCGTTGGACAACTTCAGCGGAGAACTTGTCTAGTTCGTATCTCACGGCTTCGAGGAGGAGAACGAAGTTGTACGCCTCAGTGTCATCCTTGGGATATTCCCAGTCAATGTCTATGCCGTCGAAGCCCAGGTTGGCTACCAGTTTAACAGCAGAGCGGGCGAAGGTCTCGCGGCCCTGGGGAGTGGATGCTGGCGCAGCGAAGTTGGAGGAATACGTCCAGCCGCCGATGGAGAGGAGGGTGTGGAAATGACGGTGCTGTTTCTTGAGGAGGAAGAGCTGCTTGATGCATCCGTAGACGTTGTTTCCGGTATCATTCCAGGAATCTTCGGGGTAGTGTTTCTCGAGGTCTGAGTAGGTGTCTGAGAGATAGCTATAGCCACGTATATAGTCAGCAGTGTAATAATCTATGGTGAACATTCGGCAGAGTCTCACTCACACTTCGCCTGTCTCTGGCCGCACATTCGCAAAGGAGTCTAAAGAGATCTATCAGCAGGTTTACTGAAGAGACACCAGCTAATACGTACAGAGAATATGGGTGAGGTGGCTCGCTGGGATATCCGCAGGCTGATAGTTGCGTCCGTAGATGCCCTACGCAGCACAGGAGCGTTAGAGCACATGGTTATCAACCCAGCAGAGGAGAAGCCAGACAAATATAGAGAGCAGACTCACCCAGTTTGTGAAGTATCCCACGGTCTTCAGGCCCTGTCTTCCGCCCTGGAAGGATGGCACAGCGGAGGCAACGTTGGCCACCCCCCGCGAGGCCTCGGCGGGCTCAGCGGACGCAGTGGGCGGCGGAGGGGCGGAAGCAGCAGCAGCATCAGCAGCGGGAGGAGCTCCGCCCGCCGCGCCAGGCAGGTTCAGGACCTGGCCGACCTGGATGACGGCGGGATCTGCGACTTGCGGGTTGGCTGCGATGAGGGCGTCGAGGGCGATGCCGTGGTCGTTGGCGATCTTCCACATGTAGTCGCCCTGCTGGACGGTGTACGTAGCCATTGCAGCGGTGATCAAGCAGCAACTATTGAGAATGCGACTGACGGCGATGTCTGCTTCGGCTCCTGGTCTTCCACTGTGTTTATTTACTGATAGAGGCCTCTTTCAAGCAGCCATCTGGATCTGTATTTCTAGTTATCCCACCACAGCCTCAGCCCCTGGCTAGTCAAGCGCTCCACCCCTGGTTATTAACAGCTAGTTAGTTAACGACGAGATAACGACAGCGACAGCGACAGCCGCAGGGCGACGGTTCAGCCACACGACAGCTCCTCGTCGGCTCCTCTCACTGCTGCGATAGCTAGTTAACATGCCAGAGTGACGCCACGCCGAAGATGGGCGCACGATCGAGATGTCGACCTCGCGATGGGCGCGGACAGAAAGTTGCGCCGATCTTCACAGGATGCGCAACCTCGGCTTGCACATGGAGTCGGTCCACAGCTTGCGATCTGGATTCTGGGGATGCGATGGGGACGAAGACGAGGAGCATCCGAAGTGTCGGCCGAGCAGCGATGGTTGCTGCTATATATATGGGATGAGGCAGGGCTTGTTGGACGAGGTTGTTGGCCGCAGAACAGCTGGTTAACTAGTTATAGCCCAGGATCAGCGTCGAGATGGCTTCAAAGGCAGTGTGGCAGGCGCCCGCGGGCAACAAGGGCTTCACAGACGCCGGGATAGTGATCATTGGCGGCGGTATCTCTGGTAAGAGGCCTTCTCTGGCGCTGCTCTGGCCATAGAGGATTTGCTAACGTGTCTTTGAAGGAATGTGCATGGCCATCAGCTTGCTCAAAAACAACATCCGCAACTTCGTTATACTGGAGAAAAGCGCTGGACTGGGCGGAACGTGGAAGGACAACAAGTATCCTGGATGCTGCTGTGACGGTATGGCTGTCTGCCTCTTGCCGGGTCGTTCTCTGCTGACTGTTTCTAGTCTTCTCGCATCTCTACAGTTTCTCGTTTGCGCAGAACCCCGACTGGACCAGGTTATATCCCTCGCAGGAAGAGATATTGGTACGGTTCACTGTTCCACTTAAGCATCTATGCATCAATTGTTAATCGGATATGCGTGACAGAACTACTTGAATGATGTCGGAGACAAGTACGGCCTACACAGATATATACGCTTCAGCTCTATGGTAGAGGAGTGCCGTTGGAACGAAGACGAGAAGAAGTGGAAGACCACAGTACACGTTGAAGGCGCTAAGGACTCTGAATTCGGGGAACGATATACCATCTCGTCAGATTTCCTCCTCTCCGCCGTTGGTCAGCTAAACTACCCGCATTATCCTTCTATCCCTGGCATCGATGACTTCAAGGGCAAGCTCATGCACTCGGCCCGATGGGACTGGAGCTACAACATCAAGGGCAAGAAGGTGGGCATCATTGGAAATGGTGAGTCTTCTTCTTCCATTATTCTGGTAGTTACCCCCTGGCATTGGCTTAGCTTACGGTGTATTATTATTATAGGCGCTACGGCTGCCCAAATCATACCGGAAATTGCGCCAGAAGTATCACACCTCACGGTCTTCCAGCGCACCCCGAACTGGGTTGCACCTCGCCACGATATGTCCATGACTCTGCCCATAAGATTCATGTTTAGATACGTACCTGGTGTCCTATCCAAGTTCCGTGCTCTTATAATGGATGTTCGTGAAAGCCTGTTTGCTTCCATCCTCAAGCCTGAATCTCAGGTATCTGGCTACCTGAAGAAAATCAGCGTGGCCATGATGAAGCGACAGCTAGCGAACAAGCCGGAGCTTTGGGAGAAACTGACTCCAAACTACCCCCCGGGCTGCAAACGTATCATCACCAGCGATGACTACTTCCCTGCTCTAGCCCGGGATAACGTCAGCCTTGAAACCGGCCATATTGATCGGATATCTGAATCCGGGATCGTGGCCGATGGCGTTGAACAAGAGTTCGATCTGATAATACTGGCCACTGGTTTCCGTACAGTTGAATTCATGCACCCTATAAAGGTGTACGGTGAGAACGGCCGATCGCTCTCTGATATTTGGAAAAACGGTGCTCGCGGCTTGTACGGCATTACCATCGAGTCCCTACCAAACTTCGCCATGCTGTACGGGCCCAACACCAATCTCGGCCACAGCTCCATCATTCTCATGGTCGAGGCACAGACACGTTACATCTTGAGTATGTTGACCACCGTTCTTCGGTCCAAGCAACGTGGCCGTACTCTCACCATCACACCCAAGGTCGATCGTATTGATGAATTCAACGAATCTCTGCAAAAGGACCTGGCTAAATCATCCTTTGCTCATCCAAACTGTACCAGTTGGTATAAGAACGAAGAAGGCTTGATTACTAACAACTGGTCCGGCAACGTATTGGACTATCAGAAGCTCTTGTCGAGAATCGACTGGACCGACTTCGATATGAAGGGAGACGACTCTGTCAAAGGCAGGACCTACACCCGCCTTGGTCGTGTCCGAGAGGAGTCGCTCATTGGACTCAAGACTCTATCTACCGCCGCTATTGCAGCCGCAGTTATCTATGGCGTGTCTCGTCGGTCACCCGATTTTTTCCCCGGGTTACTTAGATATCTTCACCTTTCTTGATTACTCTTTCAGATACCTATTTATTTTTTGTGATTTACGGCCTTTCTTCATTTGATGTAAAATTACGTTTGGTTTAGTTCGGTTGGATTCTACCAGGTAGAAATTTCATATCTATTCAACGAATTTTGGTTAAGTTCTTCCTGCCTAGTTGCATTTTTTTTTGAAGGCCCCTTTTCCTCCCGGAAAGAAACGATGGAAAACAATAACTACTCGTGATCAAACGCTGAAAATCATAGTGGAAGTCGATCGGAGATGATTGCAACGAAAAGGCCCCGCCTTGTTCCTTTCTCACTAAAGCCACCAATGTATAACTAACTTCAATGGCCCTCTCGTTCAGTGAAGCCCGTTTCTTTGCCCTTCACTAGGCCGGTCAATCTGCTTTGGAGCTTGTGTTTTTGCTCCTGTGCATCGAAGCTATACTGGCGAGATTTATGCTGGGGTCTCCACTCGCCTTGACGAAGCTGTGGACTCGATTCGGTGGATGAGACAGCTGACGAGGTGTGACCAGTGTTATGGTCGTGGACATTTGGAGCTTCAAAGCTGCCTATCTTAGGCTCGTGGTAGAGTTGGTTCGCTTGCTCTTCGGTGATCATGGTTGGGGTGATAGCGAGTCGATGATTGTGGACTTGATTCAATGCTCTTGAATTCAGATTTTAATGAGCACACGACATCAGGAGGCCGACAAGCGAGCTCGAGCTCTTATATAGCTATGGCATGTCGGACGAAAAGGCTGGGGCTTTTCACTTTCCCCCAATTATGAGATCATATTCAGGCTCGCAGTGGCACAAGAAATCTGCGGGAATAACCTGATCCAGCACCATTGATTGCAGGCCCAGGTACTGGTACAGGTACTTACAGGGAGTTTGCTTAACTTCTGCTGGTCTCGCTACGGACAACGCCAGCTGCACCACCCTTCAAAAATTGAAGCATGCTCCCAATGAAGATATTATTGGCGACAAATCTCGCTCTCGCCAGGGCTTTTTTAGACACGCCACCGACTTCGACTATACTAGCTGCGGTTATGCTCAGGGGGGGTAAAACGGCAACCTTAACTGTTCCGACTTTCTGCTCCAGAAAGGTACGTACAAGCCAGCGGAAACCAGATTAGTGTTTGCTGTCAATGCATAGAAGTAAAGTAGTTATGGAGACTTTGGGCGTCACCATCTGTGCACAGCCACGAGGTGATATCATGCCATGCAGAGTACGGCGTCAAGTCATCGAGCTTGTCTATTCTTCACCAATAGATGGTTAGAGCACTCTGTAGAAACACGCGTCTTACCTTTCGTGTTATGGCAACTGCTTGGAGGAGAAGTCTATCTGGCCACCACCAGGATAAATTCATAGGAATTGGACTCAAACTATTTCTAGAAACCAGGCAGGAAAGCCGAGATTTCGCCTATATTTTATCATCAATTTAGTACAGGTCTCCCTTGAAGGAATGTTTTTGACATCTGGGTCGTCTGAATCAGTCATACATCCATACCCTTTGGTACTGCTCGCGGTGACAGCCTGATTATAATGAAGCAGATTCAACTCAAGTATAAGAGCAAAAGATGCGGAGGGCGCACCGTAGTGGAGGGTCGCTGCATGCAGTGATAGCACCAAGAATATATCCCAGACAGCATGGGGTAATACCGTCCTATCACAAGGACGAACTGGAGGATATAAATTGGTCCATAAATGGCTGACGCAACTCGTTAGCTGTTGAAACTTTTGGCAGCTTATGCATCATGTATTTCTACTGCTGCTGATAAGAATAGATGAATGATGAACAAAACTTCGATGTCGTCGCTTTTTGCCCTTTTGGGCCTGAGAGGGTGGCATGGCCGCTTTAGTGCTCGTGGTAGGGCTGTTAAAGCGGCCAGCGGCTGATTGATTCCATGTTGACTCTCTGTAGTTTTGTATTTTTATCCACATAAATCAACTAGAACTATACAAATCTCGTTATCTCCAGCCTCAGCCCTGTAACACTAGCAACAAGAACAACCTGGGTTGGTGCTCCGGAAAATAATGACACTAGTCAGTGCTCCAAGTGGTTAGCTAGGTAGTCTTTGCCAGGTATCGCAGCAGAGGCCAAAGTAGTCATCCTGAGGATTTGGAAGCCCACAGAGAAGTTGGTTGGCTTTCCGCCGCGAAGCTAACCCAGTGATTACCAACTGACCATCTAGCTACTTCACAATTCCAGCAGATTTATTGTTGTTGTCGTTTTTTCTATATCTGTGATTTTATCGGAGTTTCAGCTAGTGGCTGACTAAGACCTAGCTTACTAAGAGAAAGCTGACTAAGACTGTGCTGACTAATAATGTTACTGTAGCAAAAATAGAAGCGAAAAATATTTAATAATGAGGAATTTTGGTTAATATTTTCAATCTGGATGGCGGTAGAACTAATGCGTATCCACGCCCTGGTAGCCGCTGTATAAATCAATATAGTAGTTATGGGTGGGTTGTGAGCATGTGGGCAAAGTGCAGGAATAGCCCATTATTGTAGCTAATTTGTGTGTCCAGCCGGTGACCTCACCCAAAAGTGTTGCCGCCAAACTCACTAACTAGTAGTTAATCTGGACCACCGACAGGTTCCATTCCATCTTCCAGCCTACTCACGCTCTGGACTCCGGAATTGCCTACCTCTCTCTCAGCTTGCTGTTCGCTCAGATCTTTTTGCCTAATGTGGCACATAACTCTCGCGTTTCGTTTCCTTCCACGTATCTTTGAAGAGCCGGGGAACCTCGTTGTACTGTTACCAGGGCGGGATCTAAGCATCTGTGGGCGGAGACCATGGAGCGCGCAAGAAAGAGTACGCTGAATCTTGACGGCGTCTCGCCGTATCTGGCAGGCATTATTACGAGATCATAGCTAATCTATCGTCACAGGAGAGCTCCGGGATCTAAACGCGCTCGTTTGGGCGGGAGAGACAGGTATCGTCATATCGTCCTATCCGAAGCTTGGAGGGCCGCTCTTATACCAACGCCAGGTGCTAACTTGAAACTCGATGCTGGATTATTACAGATGTCTTTGAAGTTAGCAAATCTCTAGATTCTTCGCTGAAGAAGAACACGGCCTTTATCAAACGACTTCGCACAGGAATCACTGCCGCAGGCCTCCCCACATTCATAACCGATGTTCGCTCGCTTTCGCTTCATAAATACCTCTCAGAAATCATATCGGCTTTTTATGAGGGTCTCTGCAAGCTCAAGACACCGGGAGAAATCGCCGCTGGTGTTGAAATTGCCAGCGCAATCCACCAGCGTTTTGGCCCGGATGAGTTTACCAAACGACTGGCGTGGAACTTGGGCCGCGGCCTTACCTCGCCGGATAAGGCACAGCTCAAAGCCTGGACGCCAGAGGTCCGTGAAAGGGAAGAAAAGGAACGTCTATCCCGGCACAGGGTTCTCCTCCGTGTCGTAACAGAGTTCTGGCTTGTTGGGCTGCTTCGGAGTTTAGACGATGTAGAGAGACCGGATGATTCTATGCCCAAGTGCAAGGACTCGGTGCCAACTTTGGGTGGGAAAGGTGCTGATGGAAGCTCTAAGCCTCGCCAGTCTCAGTCCGCGAAACCGAACCAGGACAGGGATGAAGAACCGTTCCCCCTTGAGGTTTTAAAGGATTTGCTTGGCTACGATCGAGAACACGTCAATTTGCCCTTGGCTCTACTATTCGCTAGAACGTATAGCTGGGACATATTGGGAATTAAGACACTCGAGGAGGGAAGAAAGACGGTAGAGACAAATGGAACCACTACAGATACCTCCAAGGAAGCACAGGGTGGTACATCCGGGGATGAAGCCGGTACAAACACAGCTCAGCTTGATGACCCTCCTCTCGTACCCGAGAAGCTCCAAACGCGGTTTAAAAATGTGTTAAACAGATACCTTGAAGATGTGAAGAAGCATGTTAGTCGGGACCAAAAGGCTCTTGCAAACCAGAGTCGCCGAAATGCAGAGGCATACGTGAAAAGCGGCGAGATCCTCGAGGATCGGCAATCTAATTTCGAGAAACAGACAAAGGCACACGAGAAATTGGTGTCCAATACCCAATCACTATGTGAGATTTTGGGCGTTGAAATGCCTGACTTGGCTGAAAAAGATGCGTCTGATGGCACAATGAGTGGCAGCATAGGCCTTGTAAAGACTGGCGAATACCTTCGTGGTCAAGGTGAAGGGGCTGGTATCTGGGAAGATGAGGAAGAGAGACGCTTCTACGAGAATCTAGCAGATTTCAAGGGAAAAGTCCCCGCTGTGCTCTTGGAAGACGGAAAGAAGAAGAAAGCAGACGGAGATGACCAGCCTAAAATGAAACCTGATTCGGAAGGACAAAATGGAACTGCAGCCCCTGAAGGCACCAGCAAGCCAGATTCACAAGCAGGTGATTCCAGTGCGCGGGAACCAGAAGAGTCCGGTACCACTATTGTCAACAAGTCAGTTGGAGCTCAAGTCGATGCTCTGCTTTCTAAGCTTCCTGAGCTGGCCAACAAGGAAGCTGTTGATCAATTAGCTCTGGATTTTTGTTTCTTGAACTCGAAGGCCTCTCGAAACCGACTTGTCAAAGCTGTTCAAGAAGTGCCGAAGGGCCGTTCCGATCTCTTACCTCTCTATGCTCGCCTTGTTGCTACTCTAGGCCAGTATCTTCCCGATGTTCCTCAGGGCCTAATCACGTATCTGGACGACGAATTCCGCAGCCTTCAACGCCGCAAGCAAAAAGAATTCCTGGGTCAAGTTCGTACAAGCAACATCAGATACCTGGCTGAGCTCACTAAATTCGGCGTCGTTCCTGAACACGTTATATTTCATTGCTTCAAAGTCAGCCTGGACGAATTTTCCCGTATGAACATCGAGATCATAGGAAATTTGTTGGAAAACTGCGGTCGGTATCTCCTCAGAAACCCCGAGACAGCTCCCCGAATGGCATCGTTCTTAGAAACACTTGGACGAAAGAAATCTGCCCAGCACCTTGGACAACAGGAACGAATGATTATTGAAAATGCCATGTACTACGTCGATCCTCCACCGCGACCAGCCATTCAGCAAAAGGAGCGTACACCAATGGAGCTGTATATTCGAAAGCTGATATATCTGGATATGAACAAGCGGAACTACACTAAGATTTTAAAGGCTATTCGCAAGTTACACTGGGAGGAACCCGAGGCAAGCTGCTACTTTTATCCATCATTCTACTTCTTTAAGGATATTAACTTGGTCTTAGGTTGTCAACATCCTCGAGCGTATATTCAGCAAACCAGGAAAAATTAAGTACGGAAATATTCATCTACTTGCAATTATCATCAGCGCACTATATCGCTACCACCAGTCTTTTGTGATTGGCGTTATCGACAATGTCCTTGAGAGAATCACCGTCGGTCTAGAGAACAATGATTTCAAATTCAATCAGTCACGGATTTCAGAGGTCAAGTATTTGGGAGAACTCTATAATTACAAGATGGTTGACTCACCAGTGATCTTCGATACCCTCTACCGTATTGTTACTTATGGACACGGTAAGCTGGCCAAGGCCCTACTAGATTATAAGTGCCCTTTATACTTTGCTGATGCTTGGAATCAGAGGGTGGAACACCATCTCCGGGAAAAATAAACCCCCTTGATATGCCAGATGATTATTTCCGTATTCGTCTGGTGTGCACCATACTAGATACCTGCGGTGTTTGTTTCGACCGAGGAAGTGCGAAGAAGAAACTTGACTTTTTCTTAACATTTTTCCAGGTACATACCCAAGATTTCGGCCAAATGGTGGAATGCCACACTAACTAATGGGAATTTAAGTACTATCTACATACCAAGGATCCTATACCTATGGATGTTGATTTTGTCATCCAAGACACATTTGCCTTGACTCGACCACAGTGGAAGTTCGCTGCTGACTTTACAGAAGCTACCAAACTGTTTGCGGAGGCGGTTGCACAGAACTACCAAGTGCAAGAGACTGACAAAGCTCCAGAACCAGAGGATGAGGCAGAGAGCTCATCATCTGATGAAGATATTGAAGATGACGCGGCTCCTGATATCGAAGAGGTCTCTACTGACGAGGCAGAGGTATGCCCTTCTCGAAGCCTGCTTCATTACTGTCAAGCTAACCTCTATTTTATAGGTTACCGCTAATGAGCCAGATGATGAAAATGAATCCGAGTCAGAAGAAGAGCAGATATTTGTATCTCGTCAAGAGGAAGAGCGTGATCCTGAAGCTGAAGCTGAATTTGACAGAGCCTTCGAGAAGATGGTATCTGAAAGTGTAGAATCCCGAAAATTCGAGCGCAAAACGATGTTCGACGTCCCCCTGCCCATGAGACGTGCAAATCCCCGCGAACCTGCTCCAGTTGAAGAGACCAAAGAACCATCCCCTACGCCTTCCAGCACGATGCCCTTCTCCCTCATGACCAAGCGTGGAAACCGCCAGCAGGTATGCGCAAATTCTAAATGAACGTTCCCGAGCTATGTTGCTAACTTTGAGTGTTAAGACACGCACTATCGACCTCCCTTCGGACTCCAGTTTTGCAGTTGCAATGAAGACCCAGCAACAAGCAGAGCGCGAGGAGCAACAACGAATAAAAAATCTGGTTCTCAATTATGATCTTGGTGACGACAATGATAGCAATGATGGTGATAGCAACAGTTCCCCAACCCACCACTTTATTCTACGACCAAACACCAATGCTAAAGGCTCACTCAAAGGTTCCGACAAGCGAACGTCATCGCACCGCGATTCAAGAAATGATAAATCAGCCCGGAGTGGATTCCGTGCTCGTAAATTACAACTGAGCGACGTTGACTGGTATGATTAGTGATTTATAACCATGGCACCAATTGCACTAAGAAAATCAAAACTCCCATACCTCCAATCAAAAAAGAAAAGGAGCCAAATATACGGCAGTCGAAATTTTTTGGATATCAAAGTGCTAATTTACTTGCTGTGCGTTTGGCCTTGAATGGCCTTGCGCTCAATAAATTTGTCTTTAGGACTTGATACGCTTTCCCAAACGATCATCGAGTTTACATGACTTATCCCCATTTCACATTGATGATACTCCATCAGTCAAGCCTTGGGCCCGTCGACATAGCTATCTCCATGCCTTTCTATGCATTCATGGCCGGGAAACGATTCGAAACCGCCCGAATGATCGACAACCAACATTCGAAGCATGTGACGATAAGTGGCTACTGTGGTTGACATGGTAATAAGAGTGCAAAATTGGCCCCTCAATGCAGACTAAGCAGGTTTCACTGCCGTTTACGGTGTAAACTTGGTTCCTGCTGATATCCCTATCAAAGGGGGCCCAGGGATATGCTATCAGTGCGCTACTACTGGCAGTAATGACAAGAAATAACAGATGTTATATTTCTTTGTGCATTCTTCTATTTTATCGACCTGCAGTCCCTGGCCTTTGATGTCATATCATTTGGCTTCTAATTGCAAACATCCCCCGTCAAAAGAAGTTTTAGGAAAGCCACTTTCCCTGAGCCATGGTATACTAGAGAGCCTAGAAAATCCATGAAACAAAAAAACCGGACAAGGGCATTCCCGAAACAATCGTTACTTTCTGTTATACAAGCAGATATGCCTACCAGCGAGTCTAATAATAATACTGTGAACAATTTTAGTAATAATGGCATGAGCCAATCTACCTATTACTACAGAAGATAATTTCTGATAGTTGAAATCATTTCGTCTTCCATGTAATCTTCCCAGCGCACTCGAACAGCCAATCTATCCAAACCTGGCCCGAGATTTCCGAAACGTAAGGGTTGCGGTCTGGTATTCGCTCTTTGTAGGTAATGAGATGGCTCGTATCCACGCTGGCCATCTATGTCTTTCCATATCTCCTCGCGTGTTCTCTTTTCAACTGGTGCAGAATCTAGCGAACTTAAGCGCCAGAGGCTCTTGTGGCAGCTAAGCATCTCCAGTCGGTAAATGAGGGGAGAAGGGCACATTTCGAAGTAACCAAAAAAGTCGAAAATGAACGGGTCCAGGACTCGGTGAGAACGTATCCTTCGTCTAGTGTTATATTCCACAAAGTAGAGGCGCCTTAAAGCAGGTGCATGAGCCAGTACGCTCCATACTGTACTCTAAATGTAGTAAACTAAACGTAAGTATGCACACGATAAAGGCTTAAAGGAATAATTGGATAGTGACAAATGTACCTGGATTTTTCTGAGCAAGGGAATTCCCAGCTCCTCTAACTTAGGGCATGCTGCAATCAGTAGGTGAAGGTTTCTGACGAAGAGCCCAGTGTCAGTTACAAATTCCATAATCATAAGTACCCTAAGATTCGAGAAGTAGAAGCCGAGAGTTCCAAAATCCGCGGATTGCGGGCCACTCATGAGATAAAGCTCCTCAAGTGAGTTAAAGGGCCGGAGATAACTCACAGCCCTTGTTACGTAGATATTGGTTTTAAGCCTTTTCAGGGTAACACCCCTCGACTGCAAATAAGCCCAAGGAGAAGGATAATGCACACCAAAGTTGAGTGAATGGATGAGGGAAAAGTTCTTGATAGCAGTGAAATCAAAGACCTGAGCCCATTCCTCGATAACTAGGTGATTGCAAAGTAGGATTTCCAGTGTATGTAGGCGAACAAAGCCATCAGTTTTTGAGATTTTTGAGAGACCCCTTGTTACTGAAAGAAGGAGGTCTCGAGAAGAGGCGGCAGGGGTATTATACATTCGGGGCAGAGGCCTAGAAGAATCACCCTCTTTGATAAGCCCAAGCCTGAGGACTCTAATTGTCCCTCGTACTTCCACCAGGATTTTCGATATGTCGTTTAGGCTTCGAGCATAGGGTATTCCAAATATTGATAGCTCTTTCAAACACTTAAATGATGCGTGACGTAGCTCAGGGTACGCATCTGATAAGACCTTATCTTTTCGGGCATTTGAAAGAGGTCTGGGATAGAGATAAGTGAAAGCTTTGACATTCCCCTGAAGCTTGAAGACCTCTTTGGTGGGGTATATGCAATCGGCCGTCCAACTTTGAGAGATAAGAATAAAACCCTTCTATTAGCACGGTGGAGAATGGAATAGGGTCATACCCTGCCAGGGGTAAATCTCACCAGAAACTCTGCAATTTCTTCGCCTTAGTGAATAGGGTCGACAGTATGTCGTGTAATTGAATGCGTTCCGAGTTCAACCGAGCCACATCCGGTTCGGTTGATTGGTTTCCGCCAACACTCGGGAAGCTCCCGTAGGAATTTCCGCGAGCGCCCCTTACCGCAATCTTCCTAACCCATTCAGCCTGTCCCAATCTATTACGAGCTATACTTCGAAGGCAGTTTAACCATGGAGGCTCCTTAGTATCCAAATATTCCCCGGGTTCGTCTCCAGGTGGAATAACAAGGTTAATATATCTGTAAAGGATGGGCACTGTCAGTGAATTCGAACATCGGCAAGTTAGACAAAGAGAGACTAGGTCAGAGCGTGAATGTATCTGTTTTATGGTTAGTGGTGCGAGATCTATCAATCATGGGATAAAGAGCGCAATAAAAACATACAAACGATGCTATCTCTAAGTATAACTCATAAGGAAGATATAGCAGGGATCTTGTGAAGGGTACCGAATCCATTTTGGTTCTCCGACTTCAAGGAATCCAATGACATAGGTGAGGGTGGTTATAGCTATAGAAACCAAGCACCAACAGATGATGCGATATCGTTGACACCATGCGCCGGAGCCAGCTTTCACATGCGGGCTCTCATCCGGAGGTTGGAATCCAAAGCAAGAAGGACCGTTGGAGGTTGTAAGGTTCTTTCCGCGGTTCGAAAGAGTATATCAACAAAACGTTTATTTTGAACCGACCGTAGGGATATAGAGCCTCATCAAACATGGTAAAAGCAATCTAGATTGGACGGGAATCCTCAAACGAAGGGATCTGAGCATCAAAGGCAAATTCCCTAAGCAAGATACCCTGGTACATCAATGGTGCAGGGGGCTCAACACTGCATATGTACTATGAGCGGAAGGCATGGGGATTGCCGGATCGACTAAGCCCTCGACCGGTAATAAAAGTGTTTCGAATCCTTGAGAGCATAATTTCATCTGGAAAAGTTTGATACATCTAGTTTCAAGCTCGGCGCTAGCTCCACGGTAAAGAGTACTGGGGCCGAAGTTTCGACCTTAACCAAGTCTGCTCTGATATGGTTGCTCGTACTTAAATTACCACCGAATTCCGTTTTCCAATCACTCACATCCCATTCGAGGCCCTGTGTGGATATTATCGACGGACCTCCGATGGGGATAATTCCTATATTTTCCGAGAAATAAGCTTGCTGGTCTGCATTGTTTGTTTGACGACCACTTAGCCCAGAGCCGGCTTCTTTCTCTTCCCCAAAATACGAGCCGCCAAAGGTCTGTATTACGTTGTTCCCCGGGCGTAGGAAAAAGGAGATGCTCTCCTCAGAGATCAGATATAATTCACCATTTGGCCGTCTGATCTGTTCCGAAGCAGATGTAGTAGTACAGAATAGGTGGTGGATTTGGGCAAATCCTTGGTCAACACGCCCACCTAATCCGCCAAATATGACAACATCTAGAGCTTTGGATGAACTATTAGAGTGGCTGCCGGAACCATTATCGCTATGCTGGCAGGTGGTATTGACAATATCACTGCAGTTATCTGCAAGATAACTAAGACATTTCATAAAATCCGTTGAATATTGGTCTGGGTTCTCAATAATAGGTACTTCCATGCCCTGGTAGTGTTTTCGAACATCCGGGTGAATAGAATCAAGATCTCCAACGATAGCATTGGGAAGCTGTTCGAGCAGTTAGATATGGCACATACGATACCCGCCAAAGAGAAAAATACACATATCATATGGAGATAACATATATTTTTGATAACTTGAGTAATCCATACCTCAGTTTTCTCCAGACTAAGCCTTTTCATGACATGATAATACCGGTTTGCCCCACCATCCGCGCAGATGGTAAAACATGCTATCAAACCCAGTTAGCTTTCACCAAGAGGAATCTCTGCATTACATCCTGAGATATTGGGTGAGCTGGGAGGTACCAGCATCTCACCGTACCATGTCTTTTTAGTAGCCTCAAGGCGTTATGATTGACAGGTTGGTTTAGAATTAGCAGAGCGAATGGTGCCGGCGGAAGCGAGTCCTCAAAAAACCGAGCAGGATGCCATTCCATCGTATTTAAACCAATCTCTCAAACTCGCGGCTGAATAAATATCAAAAATTGGGTATCTCAAGTGTATTTTGTCTTTGTAACATCGCTTCAAAATATCTACTGGATGCTCTGCGGCCCGGCGGTTTGATATTGCCTAAAAGGGACCGGGACCTCCGGCAAATGTTTATCCGAGAATCTTACATAATCACCAATTTTCGCTCGCTCTTGATTAACAATCTTGAAGACGACGAGACGAAGACGACGATATCAAAAGCACTCTAAGCCGAGTCCCCAACTCGCTCTCAATTCAATGAGTTTATTTTATATTTGATTTCCCATCTCCTAGCCTGTTAGATTAATTTCCTTTTGTTCCCCCCCTCTCTTCACCATGTTCCGATCCGCGTCTAGGACACTGCTCCGTGGTACACCCGCTACACAACAACTACGATTTGCGCAAAGCCGAAGATGGATTAGCGATGCATCGTCGCCAGTACAGAAGAAGCAGGGATGGAGAAGTACGGTGGTGAGATGGGGTCTTGCCGCTGGTGCTGTTTACTACTACAACACAAGCCCCATATTTGCCGAAGAACCTCCCCGTAAGTCCATGCCTGGCAGGTGTTAGATAAAATATCAATCGGTGGATTGGCTGACATTGATGGCAATGGTAGTCGAGATTGCTCCCGGATCCCAATATAAGACGCAAGATACAGCTGTTTCGCAAACAATTGAGTCTCTAGAGGCGGCGAAAAAGACCAAGCCTAAAGCACGACCCGCTCCTGTCACTTCGGAAGTTAAGAAGACATCGCCTGAGGAGACATCGATAGGTGCCGCTGCTGAGACTGGTGCTCCTATTTCCGGGGGCGAACAACCGCCTGTTCCTGCCGCAGGTGATGCTGAGCAGGAGGGCGAGGAAGGCCAAGAGGCGGCGTTTAACCCGGAAACCGGCGAGATCAACTGGGACTGCCCTTGCCTAGGCGGCATGGCCCATGGGCCTTGTGGAGAGGACTTCCGGGCCGCATTTTCATGCTTCGTGTACTCCCAGGAGGAACCCAAGGGAATGGACTGCATTGACAAATTCAAGTACGTATTCACTGTCGCGACTCACATAGTAGGTAGGATAAGTGCTAATTGGTGCTATCTAGGGCCATGCAAGATTGCTTTAGACAACACCCCGACGTCTATGGAAATGAACTCGACGACGAAGAAGTTGATGCGCAATTAGACGAACACATTGCTTCGGAGAAACAGGCTGAGCAGAAGGCGTCTTCGGAATCGTCTGAGGCTGCGCCTGCTGCTGTCCTGGAACCCTCGCAGTCAGAGTCCACATCCAGCAAGGATAAGCTGCAGGAGGCCGTCTCAAAGGAACTAGAAGCCATCCAATCGAAGGCCTCTAAGGAGTAAACTGGACCAACGATCCGAGGCCGTTGCCAAGTATCAAATTTTTTTGGCCCCAGATACATACCTTCGCTACATGCCGTTTTGGTGAGGAGCGTAACTGGAGGGAAAGCTGTGCGTATCTATCTAGATGGAGACTCGGTCGACGGTGTAAAACAGCGCGTACTGTACAACTAGATATATAAAAGAGCGGAAACGAATAGATTATTTCATGTATTATAATAAATACTACTTACTTTGAAAAGGGGGTACTTAACTGTTTTGCATCATAACCGTTTCGTCGAGGAATAAATATCATAGGAAGTTATCGTGACGGTCAAAATCAACATCTCCCCCGCAAGCTATATTCAGAGGGCAGGACAAAACACGAGTAAGTAGCATTGAGTCAGAGTCCTAGAGATGAAAGGGGGCTAAACACCGAGCCAAACCAATAATCAAAACGCAGCCAATACATAAACCGACCTATAGGGCAAGGTAAGACAGGGGAGGGAATAGAGGAATAGGAGAGGGCAGTAGGGTACGGGAGGGAATAGGGAAGAAGGTACACCAAGGGGGAGGTGGATGCGGGATTATATATATAACAATAGTCAAGCCGGTTTCTCCGTCTATTCGGCAAGGACCAGCATCATGTAGATAGGGCAAGGCAAGGGAGAGAGACAGACATCAAGAAGGGAAAAGCAGAGAACCGATTTAACCCGTTTCCAACGAAGACAAGAAAAGAGCGATAACGCAAAGCAACCAGAACCAGCAGAGCATGTGAAGACGCCGTGAATCAAGGGGAACGGGGAAGAGATGGGGGGAGGGGGATAAAAGTCGATTCGAGGAAGTGTATAGATGCACCGACATATCTAGCGATTGTCAAGGGCGAGCTAGCAGCCCTGATTTGACCAGAAACCCAATCGATTCCGGGGATGCATTCAACTTTGAGTCAGGAGAGGCGGAAGAAAACAGCCTGTCCTGTTTCTTACTTTCTCAAGATGGCTTCGTACAGGCTTCCTAGCGTGCAGATGGCAGAGCCAGTGAGTAGGCCCTGCAATCCCCATGGAACAGCACTGACAACTTTCAAAACAGAATTCTGACTGAACAGGTTCCAGAAGTTGAACCCACTCCCGTACACGATGGAGGCAATCAAGGCTTTTGCCACGTTGAACACCAAGGGATCACCGCAGACCTTTCCCTTGTCCTGAGCCGCAGCTACAGCTGCGGATCGACGTGTGGTGGGAGAGGCGGACTGGCTCATCTTAAGGTTGATGTCGAAGAAGTACGCGATAATAGACGGCAGGACAACGCTGGTGGAAGCCCAGAGCAACAGGGGAGACCAGAAGGCCGGCTGGAAAGTGTTGAACAGATCTGGTATATTGTGGGTGCAGGCAGAGGTGTTCAGGGCCTCGATGGCAGGGAAAGTGAACTTCCTCCAGGGCATGATGGCACTGATTACGCTGGACAGCTCAAGAATAAGGATTAAGGTCTGGATGGTTGAGGTGCTGCTGAGCAACGAACGCAGACTGTGCGTCCGCTCGGTCATGCCAGACTGGTCCCATGCTTCGGATACAGACTTGCGGACTCTGGTGGTCTGTCTGTCAATCGCGTCCGTTACCACTGCCGGAGAGGGTGGTAAGGAAGGGAACTTGATGGCTGGACGCGAGGGGGTCTGAGTGGCAACCGGAGCCGGCTCGGGTGCAGGAGAAGACTTGGGCGAAGACTCATCCGACTCATCCCTACAGCTTGTTAGTATCTATCTATCTAGCTAGCTAGCTCGCCGGCTGTCGATGCCGTTTTCAGGGTAAGATATAAACACGCACGTTGCTTCGACTTCTTCCTTTGGCTTGACGGATCGTCTACGCGTCGAGCGCTTGACTGAGCTGGAGCCGTCGAACGAAGTCACCTCGGCCTTTGGCTCCTTTTTAATCGGCGATCCACGCGGCGGCCGGGCCAGTCTCTCGTAGTAATCGCTCAGCTTCGACTCGCTGGCGAGACGGTTCTTGTTCTGCGACAGATGGGAGTCCAGCGCAGCTTCGAGCTCGGTCTTCTTCATGTCCGCGAAACTACAGCAAAGTCAGCATCAGAACGGCCTCACAGGGTAAACACCAGCTCCCTCCATACGCCGACGGTCAAGGTATACGCACTCCTTCATGTCCGACAGCTCGGCCAGGGTGACGAGGTCGCTCTTGCGGAGCGCGCGCAGGTAGGGTAAAGCAGCCGACATGGTGCAGAGATGTTGGTACCGACTGGATCGCGAGGGGTATGCGACTCGGTCTAGAGTGGTTCTGGCGCTGCGAGAGCTATATATATGCGTGTGTGCGTGTTTGTATCTGGCGAAAGCAGGGCGGACGGGGTGGCGGGTGGTTGGTGGTTGAGTAAAAATAATAATCATAATAACACGACGGGCTTTCTTTTTTGTTGTTTACATTTTTGCGGTCGGCTTTTTGCGTTTAGCGCGTCACTAGTTCCCGATTGGGACGACAACAGCCGCCCCCGGCATATAAAGAAAGACGGCCGCGACAAAGATGGGGCGCGCGGGCAGGATAAAGGGCTGATGGGCTCTTCATGAGACGTGGATTAGGTGTATCGTACAAGCAGGTAGGTCTTCTTTCAAAAAAAAATATACAGGCCAGATGCAAAAAACAAGACAAAACCCAGGCCTTAGATCTATGTATTTTCCTTCTAAAGGGCCGTCCATTTTCCCCCCTCCCCCTTAACGCCAGCGCCAGAGCCCGTTTCTCGCCCGTGGGAAAATCGAGTGGACATTGTTTATGCAGTTTGGAGTATTACACTGCGGTTATGTGTGGTTGGTGAGTGGTAGTTCATTCATATTGAGGTACTTCGGAGCTCGCGGAGCTGCTGGTATGACTCGAGCTGCTTGAGGAAGTACTGGTAGAGCACCAGCATGGTGCCGCTCTGGATGCTGGTCCAGAGGAAGCGAGGGCCGACGCCTCTGACCAGCCGGCCACCCCTTCGGTTTTATATATTAGTTTCAGGCCCGTTAGGACCGAGGAGGTGTCGAGGATGGCGGCACCGGGTTTAACTGTGGACGTGGAGGGTGATGAAGTTGAGATGAATCGTGTCTGAGCGGAGGATTTCGAGGTGGAGGTTGGTGGTGACGATGGTGCATGAACGTGGCCATTTGGGGTGACAGTCGGTCGTGGAGCAGCGTCTGGATTTTGCTGTGTTTGTATCCGGGTCTTGACCACGTCCAGCGGACAGGTGATCACACCCGCCATACCGCCGGCCGTAGCAGCCGTGAGCACTTCCAGCTGGAACCCGATATCCCGCTGTCCAACCCACCGCTTAGCCAGCTGCTGCTCCTGCTCGTAGAACGCAAACTGCAGTGCCGAGAAGGGCATGTCACGGAACAGCGTTGCCTTGAAGCCGGAGAAGAGCGCAAAAAAGCCTTCGGTGCGCAATATCGTTCGGAAGGCATCTGCCGTAGATCTATAGTTGTATCCCGATTTGAAGAACGGGTTATTATATCTGCCCTGAAGCTGTAGCCGGGTCTTCAGCACTTCGGACGGAACGTATATAAACGACGCAGCAAAATCGGCAATGAATCCTGCACATCTTAGTTAGCGGTGCAACCCCCTTAAACTTATGCATGGGAAAGAGTTTTGGACATACCTCCAGCCAAATATGCAATTGACGGATTTATGCCAACGTCCAACATCCACCGCTTGCTGTACTCGTATGTGCCGAAGAAAATAACGGTGCCTGGGAACGAGCCGCATAACGCAGGAGTGACACCGCCGTACAATCCCCTCCGGATCCCCTCCTGACGGAAAATAGTAGCGTACGAGGAAGACATGGAGGTATATTTGGGCGGTATATGCGGATCCCCTTGCTGCCTGGTCTTGACTGTATCGAGCGAATGCATCAGCATGTCGCCGCTTGTGCCGCCAATTCCGCCCGCAATCATGCACTGTTAGAACCAGTTAGCCAAGGGAACCAGTCCATTGAAAGCCAGATAATGAATATATATTCGGTGTTTTTTATTTCGTACGTGTAGATATGGCGGCCGGACCGCCTCCTGGGGCTCTGCATGCTGTGCGTGTGCTGTGTTCATCCTCTCGCCTACGTCCACGAGCCGGCCATCCTGGAGACCGCCCAGGCCCATCCCTGAGCTCGAACCGGACGAAGATGCAAGGCTCGATGAGTCTGAGGCCGCGAAGAAGTCTGTCATCCGCGACACCAGACTCATCGCCTTCTGCCTGCTGTCGCTGTCGCCGCCGTCGTCTTCGTAGTCGTCGCTGTGTAGTCGTAGTCGTAGTCGTAGTCCAGGTTGAAGCTGTTGGTCAAGGTAGATGCGGGAGGCAGTTTCAGCAACAGCAAGACAGGCCAACAATCAGCCAGACGGAATTCTATAACAGACAAACAACAGCCATCCGAGCAGCGAAAGAAAGAAATCAAACCAAAAGAAATCTCAGCTTCTTCGTCTTCTTTTTTTGCTTCTCTTTTTTTTTCGACTTTTTTTTTTATTTAAGAAATCAAAATTGAAATATTTGATGACTAATCTTTAAAGGATAATGGTTTATCCGTCTTACTAAGCTAATCCAACCAATCACAGCGCTTCTTCGCACTTTGGGAGCCGGAAAATAGTCGAATTTGATATTCGATTTATCGGCGTTAAAAAAGACGAAGGATTACTGGGTAGAGAGAAGTCGGAGATAGCAGCCGGCGATGGCGTGTTTCTCCGTCTTTTAGGCGTCTGGTCGGTTAGTGTTCGGGTGGTCGCTGTGGGATAGATAAGCAGGTAGAATGTATATTCATTGATTTGATAGACAAAAAGCTGGAACATCAAAGGAGAAGGCAAGACAAGGGAAAAGAAAGATAGTTCATGACACCTCTTCATTAGCATTAGGTACACAGGTACGTCCATGTTCTTTTGTCATTTGGTTGCGAGGCCGTGGCAGAGGGAGTTCGTAGAAGGGGAAAATGGCGTAGCGTAGCATAGCATAAGATGGGGGGAGAGGGGAGGGGGTATTTTGCAGGAGGGAAGCACGATTCTATTTATTGGTCGTGGCTTCGGAGGAAGAATCTCAGACGGCCGATACTCCATGCTTGAATGATTTTGTCCTTTTTTTTTTATTGGGTGGTTCTTTGTTCGGGTAAGGGGGGCGGCCTGGTAGCAAGGCCAGGGAGTTTTCACTTTTTGGGGAGTAGATATGAAGATATGGTTCACGTAACGTCGTTTGATACGTTTTGTTGAAGACAGCTCGAACACAGATACTAAAAAGTATGCATGTGATAAGCTTCGACGGGGCCAGATAGGTTCAAAAAAAAACCTAAGCTGGCTGCACCGCCCGCCACGTCTCAAGAACAAACAGCATCTCGTCTACTGTGGCTTCTTGCCGGGACCCTGCTGCTGCTGGAACCGAGCGAGATATGGCTTCAGGTCGGTAACGGTGTACAGCCGTTGAACCGCATTCTTGACAACCTCCCATCCCTGGCGGACAGCTGGCGGGGTACTCTGGTGGGAGAGCATGGCATCGATCCTGGCCGTCGAATGGGCGACCACGGCCTGCACGAACGAGCTCTGTGTGTACCGAGAGCGGAAGAACCAGAAGTAGATGACGAGCAGCAGCCAGCTTCCGCTGCTAAAAGTCAAGGCGGTGAAAATCAGTCTGATCAGCAGCGAGAGCTCCAGGGCGGCAACCATGGCCATGCTGGTGTCGTAGTATGTCTTGACGAAACGGCCGATCTGATCTGCCAGGGGGGAGGATTTGGCGGCGGCCGGTCTGCCGGAGGGCGAGGCTGGACCTGCATCAGGGGAGGGCTGGAAAGTCGGGATCAGGTACGTGCGGGTGTATGTGGCGACGTGGAAGAAGGAGTAGATGGCGAAGGGGAGCAGGGCGAAGAGCAGCTGGCGCGAGCACAGCCAGACAAGGGCCATTCCTGACATTGTTAGTATAATATTCCAATGTCTCGTAATATATATATATATTTATATGTGTGTGCGTGTTTGTGCGCCCTACCGAGATACTGGACGTTCTCGTCGCCGGCAAGCTTGATGATGTCGTTTGGAATGCTGCCTCCGAGCCGGCCGCGGGCAACGTAGCCCTTGTAGACGACGATGCCGTAGGTAGCAGCGGCCGCAACGAAGGCGAAGCGGTACGAGCCCTGGGCGACGGTGGTGTAGGTGCTGAAGGTGATGCAGGAGAGCAGGTAGCGGAACACGGCGAGGATCAGCGTAAAGTGCCTACACCGTCAGCTTCATTTCTCTATCTCTTCTTCGCTGTCTCTGTCTCTTCTTTTCGCCGTCTTCTTTTCTTCTCATCGTCTTCTCTTCGCCGTCTTCTAAGAATTCAACGGGGTGGACAGGCAGCCCTCAGCAGCACACGACATACCCTATGAACCACGCAAATCTGCAGCCGTCAGCATCGACACTCTATATAGCTGGAGCAAGCCCCAGAGAACCGCAATCATCACGAGAAGGGCCTTACTGGAGCGTCTGAGCCAGCATCTTGAGCCGCTCAAGCAGCGGCAGCGTCGCAGGCGGGGGAGGAGCCATAGCGAGCGATTCCACAGAAGAAAATACAAGACAAGCAAAGTGAGGCAAAGGGAAAAAGAGACAGGTCGAGCAGCGTAAATCGAGTCGTCTAGCTGTCTGTCTGTTCTGTTCTGTCTGGATGTCTGTTCTGTCCAGCGAGGTTGAAGTCGAAGTCGAGGTCGAAGAAGCGGAAGAAAGTCGAAGTCGACGTTCGCTGGCTTTCTCTGCTCTTCGCGCTGTGTGAAGTAGCGATACGAACAGCTACCTCGCTTCACAGCCAGCTCCACGCCGAAACACAGGTACTCGCAGGTAGTGGGACTTAGCTAGGGCTCCCTCCTCGCTCCCCTGCTTGCTTTTTCAGGCTCACTAACTAGATAAATCCAGGATTCACCCGGACAGTTGTCTGTATGCAGAGTCCAGACGCCCGCAGCCGGCACTCAGCGCACCGCTCAGGGCAGCTCTCGCACCGCAACCGCAGCTTGTCCCACCGCAGACAGCTCTCGACGGCGCGAGTGTCGTCTCCGGCGTGCTCTCGAGCTGCTCCTCTTTCGTGCTGGTCTTCGGCGTCGGGGTCGGGGTCGTCTGAGAATCGCTGGAGCACCGCTGGGTCCATCCGCACCCGTCTGTGGCCACAGCTATACTCCTTCACTTCGCCCGCGATCTGCTGCTCCTCTAGCCCAGCGTCCTCGTCCTCGTCCTCGTTCTCGTTCTCGTCTCCGGCGTCGTCTCCGGTTTCTCCCTGGTTGAAGGAGGACTGCAGCAGCTGCCTTGTTTCTTCTCGCTGCTGCGTGCAGGCGGGACAGTAGCCGTCGACCTCGATCGTGGCGGTGCGCCAGTGCTCCTCCGGGCAGGCTCGAGAAGGGACGCGGCCTGGATTGGTGGCGGCGTCGGGGTTGCGGAAGCGCTGGCCGCGGGGGGCATGGCAGCGCTGCAGAGGGTGCTTCAGGTGGCAGGGCTGGATGTGCTGGCAGCGGAGGAACAGTTCGGCAGCGAGAAGACGGCACATTTGGGGGACGCTGGCATTGCGGTGGGCGTGAATGTGTGGCAGCAAATGTTATTATCTACGGAGTACTGGGAGGTGAGGGCAGAAGGCCGGTTATATGGTACACGGGGGGCCTGTAAACAAGGGGGCTGGAGAGGAGATGGGGACGGTGGAGTGCTGTGAAGCTATAGCAGAGTAGATATAGTCCGTAGTAGGCAGATATTGCCAACTACTAGTAGAGAGGTGTGGCCAATTGGTAGGTATGGTAGAGGTTGTAGGCATCGTAGTGTAGTGTTGTAGTAGAGCTGAGATATCAATTTACGGGAGCAGCCTACCAACTTCAACTTCCAACATACATCAAAGGAAAAACAGGGCAATGACATAAAGAATTAATTAGTCTGGTCGAAGCAAAGAGCAAGAAGAGGTAACGAAACAAAATAACGATCGTGAAGCAAGCTTGAATCTGCCTCCCCAGCCCAGCCCAGCCCAGCAGTGCTGCTCAAGATGGATATATCCCATGTGCCATTGCCATTGCCATACCATACCATGTCCAAAGCCTTCTTTTTCTTCTCCGGATACTGTTTCAGCCTCTCGCTGTGCCTTGTTTTTTGCTTTTGCTTTCCTCTTTCCTGTCACCAACATATCAACATATATATGCTGCGGTTCATCTGCTTTTGACAGGCTCAGGAGGGTAGTAACAATAACGGATATTGAATTCATTAAATAAAAGACAAGTACGGAGGAATACAAGAGGGGAAGAGGAAAAAGAAATACAAGAGGCCGGTTAGCTAGTCAAGTTGATAGAATGGGGGAGGGGGATAAGGAGACAAGATAAAATGGAAAGAAAAAGTTAAGGGGGAATTTGAATGAATGTAAGTCAAGTAAGTGGCCTGGCATGGAGTCTCGACGGGACGTAAAAAAAAAAAAAAAAACAGGAGGGGGATAATACCATTAATTTCGAGTAGGAGAGGTCAAGAGTGAGTGAGTGAGAGGATAGAAAGAGAAGATAAGAAACAATGTCTGGACTTGGGACTGGAGGGGACATAGCATGGCAGAGAAGAAGAAGCATAGAAGGCGGAAGAGGAGAGGCGGAGTGAAAAGACAAAAAGCACGGTTTAACGGAGAGAGAACCCCTTTCGCTTTATCTTGTCTTCCAGCGGCCGTCCGCTCTCGAGACGGGCCTTCTTCTCCTCTAGCTCCTGGCGCTGTCGGTCGAGCTGCTCCTTCATCTCGCGGTGTCGGGCAAACAGCTCTTCTTCGGACTGCTTGAGCTTGCTCTCCTTCTCCTGCACCTTTTGCTGGAAGACCATCTTCATCTCGGCCTCCATCTTGGCCAGCTTCTGCTCGTGCAGGGCGCGCTCCTCCTCCTGCTTCACGGCCGGGTTGACCTCCTTGAAGACGCTTGGGTCCTGTGTCACGCCCATCTGCGTCAGCTTGTCCGAGCGGTAGTTCTCGTACAGCGTGTTGTTGGTATGCTCCTTGAGCTCCTCCATGTGTGTGCGGATCAGCATCTGGCGCAGCTTCACAAAGTCGCAGTGCTCCTCGTTGTCGACCTCGATGACGCCCCAGGGGTAGCGGCGGCCACGCACTTTGCGGCCGTCAGCGCTGGTCACTTCCGAGTTGGCACCAACCACGGCAAAGGGGACCTTGGACATGATCTCCTTGTTCTCGGCAATGGTCTCCTCGTCGTCCAGCTCGTAGCGTGGGCCCTCGAAGATCTGGATCGAGTGGTGCTGGATATCGGCCAAGATCTATATATCTCTTTGTTAGCACAAACACATAAAGATACGTAAAGAGGTATGCACTTACCCTCTGCTTGAAGAGGGCAATCTCTTCGTCGGTCAGGGTGTCAGCCTTAGCAATGACTGGGATCAGGTTGACCTTGGTATGCAGACGGCGCATCACCTCAATGTCCAATGGCTTCAGGGAGTGGCCGGTGGGCTGGATGAAGTAGACACAGGCGTGCACACGGTTGTCAACAATGTTCATGCGGTTGACCTTGTTCTCGGCGTCGAGGTAGGCATCGAACCGCTGCTCGATGTTCTCGACAATGGGACGCCACGAGTCGTCGTTGTTGACGAAGTCTCCGAATCCGGGGGTGTCAACGACGGTCAAACGCAGACGGACGCCGTTCTCCTCGATGTCTGCACTGATGGACTCGACAGAGACGGTCTTGGGGATGATGTCCAGGCTGGGGCCAGTACGTTCTCGTGGGGGATATAGAGATGTGTTGAAGAGTGTGTTGACCAGTGTCGATTTTCCCAGGCCAGACTCACCTGCTCTTCGTTAATTCCTGGACATACATATCAAAATGTGTAAAAAGACACAAACGACGTACCAACGACCATGACGTTAAAGTTGAACCCCTTTCGTACACTCTTGCGGTGCCACTGGTTTGGCAGGTTGGCAAACCCAACGTAGCCGGCCAGTTTCCGGCGAACAACGTTCTTCATGTCACTGGCAGCCTGGGCAGCGGCCTTGGGGTCCTTCGAGCTGACTGTCTGGGCGGCTCCGTGGCCCATCGGGTTGCTGCGTTCGACGTGAGGAGAGACATGGGGCGATGGCGGTGCTGGCGAGGGCCGGGTGGGCGTTGGTATGCCGTTAGACGCAGCTGGAGGGTCAATGTCAGTCTCAGAGTCACTCTTCTTGTCACTATCAACCTCGGGCTCGGTGCTGTTCTCAGTCTCTGTCGCAGTCTCCAGCGAGCGGGTGTAGTCAGAGCCCGAGTCTGGCTCTGGCTCCGGCTCCGGCTCCGGCTCTGGCTCTGGCTCTGGCAGGATGGTGATGGGCTCTGCTATGGGGATCTCAGGCAGCATGGCAGCCATCTTCTCGACCACCAGGCCGACCTTGGCCACTTTCTCCTCCATCGTGTCCTTCTTTTCTCACTGCAGTAGGCTAGAATAGACGCTTGACGTAGTGTCTTTGGCGCACCCCTTTCGCATCAAACAACCGCCAACGAAACCGAGAGACGTAGAACCCGAGCCAACGATGAAGAGAAAAAGGGAAAACTCGAGGCTTACCCATCGTGAAGCAAGTTGTTTATCCTGCTGTTTTGGTCTCGAACGAGCAGAAAAGGAGAGTCGGCTGTGCAGGAGCAGCTTTGGGGCCTGGAGTCGCGGGTTCCTCGTCAGCCAGCAGTAAACAAACCCGCATTACAATAGACACACTAGACTTTCAAACTCGGTAGAAAGAGACAAGACTCGGGACGTACCCTGGATTCAATTCAATTGCGACGGGGGAGGCTGGCGAGGCGAGCGAGCGTGAAGGGGTTGGCGGAGGTGAAGGAGAAGAAGATACTTGAAGCCACGAAAATATTATCAAGGGCCAAAGTAAGAAAAAAAAAAAAAAAAAAGGGAAAAAGCGGACCAAGGGGGGAGACGGCCTGCTTGGTCGAATGAACGAGAGACGGAGAATGAGACAAGGCACCGCAGAGACAGCGAGTGCGAGACGAAGAGCAAACGGAGTCGACGGTGAGCAAGCGAAGCAAAGAAGAAGAAGAAGAGGAAGAAGGACGGCGACGGCGAGGAGGAGGAGAGGAAAAGGAGATCTCAGGGGGTGTCGCTCTAGTTTTTTTTTGCCTGCGCGCTGGTGGCTCTGCCTGGGGCCGCCCCCTTTTTTTCCTTCTGCTCGACCACCAAACGGGAGCGCGGACGCTGGGACGAACTACGACTCGCTACGGATACTACTGCTGCTGCTGCTGCTGCTGCTGCTGCTGCTGCTGCTGCTGCTACTCTTTGCCTTTCCGTTCGTCTACAGGACCAAGGCGAGGGCTGGCGGTGTCGACAGTGGACAGGTCGCCCGGCCAGGGGGGGGAGGGCTCCGTGCCAGTGGGAAGACAGAGAGCCAGAGACACACCCCCCTCCCCCTTCTTGGGTCGGTCGTCGTCTCTGCGCTGGCCGTCGCCGTGAAGGAGACGGGGAGGGCCTTCGCCCTGTCCTGGTGATTGGCCGTCGAGTTGAAGGAGGGCCAGTAGTTACCGTAACAGCCGCGTTGTGACAGGTGCTGAAACAGCCAGCCAGCCAGCCAGCCAGCTCACTTATTTAGATGAAGGGCCGGGAGACGGCTATAGCAGAGGCTGTCTTAGGGTGCAGCATGCAGATGTCCAGATGATGCGCTGCAAAAAGAGCAATACGGAGTGGATTGTTGCTGCTGGAGCCGAAGATGCATGGCAGTGCATGATGTGCATACCGTCCCGTAGTCGACGGACCGGGAGAAACAGCCAACAACACATCGTCGACTTGGGGATGGATGTCTCTTGTCTAAGACAGTCGAAAAAGTCTTTTTTTAAGATGCCAGCCGCGATCGATCTCGCCTTGTCCTTGCTAACGGCTCCAGTCTCCGTCCATATCAGATGGCCGAGATGGAGGCTTAACGGGCCCCCTTCTAGCTCTTGGTCCAGGTACGCCCGTAACTCTTTTGTCTGAACTCTCCTTCGGGTTCGTCCATCTCTCCGTCCCAACGGCTCGCCGGTCAGACGAGTGGTCTCTCCGTATAAGTAATAATACGCAGATTCCACGGCCGTTCAATCAAGCATGGCCGATTCTCACCCCAGGCTAGGCCCCCCCTGTCTCCCTTAGCCAGACAGCACTTTGGTCATCAAACCGTCAAAGCACGGTAAAAAAATAACCTCTGACCAGTAGTTTAAAGGTAAACTGCGTGCCTGTGCCTCTTAACGGTGCCAAGCAGGCCATTTTATGGTTGAGAGATCGCGTCGACCAAATTTCAACCTATCTCCCCTTGGAGTAACCATATATCTCCATTCCTCGTAACCTCAAAGAATCTCATATATCGGGTACTCTGCTGTCCTGGCTGTCACCGTTCCAGAGTCGTTCGTCTTCCTGGCCTGTTTGCTCTTCTATACATTCCCTCCCGAAGATCGCGCCCCTGCTCTTCTTCCGTACATCCGTTCCCTAGGAATCCCCCGCGCGCATATTCAGTCGTAACAAAGCCTATATTCGTGAATTCACGGCCTGCCAGGGGTAACTCGTTAGTTACTCGCCATCGCCAGATACTTCCACATGTTGGAAGGCGAAATCCCCAATAATCAAAGGGCTGGCAGTAACAGCGATGGATCGCGCATCTCCGTGGCCATCGTCGGCACCGGCATGGCTGGCCTGGTGACCGCATATCTCCTGCGGAACGACGAGAACCAGAAATTCGACATCGAAGTTTTCGAATCGGTGCGTGCATCTAGCTACTCCTGCAGCTTCCATTCCCCCCCTTTTTGTGTTTTTCAATTTTTTTTTCGTCCATATATATGCCCCGGATGGCAGTCATACTATAGCTTGTCCAACCATTAGGGACCATGCCTCCACAATGGGGGAAGAGAGATTCATATATTGACAAAGCTGTCGTCCTTGGTTCAATATGTTGAGTTCTGTTTTCCGGACTGGTGATTGTCACACTGCTTCTCGTGTGCGATGAGTTGTTTCGCATGCACCACTTTCTTCGCATTCTTCTTTCTCAAGGCGACACAGGAACCGGAAGCTAACTGCGCGCCCAATATCTAGCAAGACGCCTTGTCTCTCAATGCCGAGGGGGAAACCATCAAATCAGAGAATGGCCAGGAGACCTTCCATATCAGCCATCCAATGCGGGTCTTCGATGATGGCTATTATAAGTATATGACGCTCATGTATAAGCATCTCGGCATCGAGTGTGATCCTCTCAAGTTCCTCTTCAGCTACTCCTTCATACCCAAGGCAATTCCGAGTCCGGAGACCCAATCGGACCAGGCCCAGGAGGAACTGGCTCAGCCCAAAGTAACGTTCCTCTATTCTTCAAACAACCACCGTCTCCCCCCTCTTCGTCCTGGTGGGCAAGGCTTCTTCTCATGGCTCTGGGAGCTCATCTATGTTGCTTTCTTCTTCGGTTGGTTTTCCCTCGCCTGTTTCTGGATAGATGCCCGCAAGGATGATCAACCAGAGACCCTGGAGGAATACTTCAACCGTGTCCGCCTCCCACGGCACTTTGTGTATCGGTACATCCTGCCTCCGTTCGCTACTTTGTCGACATGCAACCATGCCGAAATGCTCAGCTTTCCGGCCCATGACATAGTACAGTATGTTCGGCGCACATATAGAGCACCCCACTACCTCGTCCGCGAAGGAACCCAGGTAGTCGAAGATACCCTCTCAAAGGGCCTGAACATCCGTCTTGGTGCCCGCGTCACCTCCGTCCGTCCAGCCGGCTCTTCGGTCATGGTATGCTGGGAATCAACATCCTCTGCCTCCGAGCTCGCCGGTGAAAAGATACCGCCCATGTCCAGCTGTCAGAGAAAATTCGACCGTGTCATCCTGGCCGTGCCGCCAAATATAGTGGGAGCCATCTTTGAGCCGCTCCGGGAAGAAACCTCTCTCTTGCCCACGAGATCGGTCGAATCCCTAATCCACACGGATGCTTCCACCTTGCCAAACATCTATTCAGAGCCGGTCAAGGCACAGACAACGTCCAGGGAGGAAGTGGAATGGGGCCATTTCCGCTCCACGGTCGAATCAACGGAGTCCATACATGAACACCCTTCGTCATACATAATAACAACCTGCCCCATATTACCCATTGACCCCAGCAAGGTTGTGCGCCGTTCATATTTCACCCGAACATTACGCACCCCTCAAAGCAGGGCAGTAGTCAATCGTATCTTTGACAAGTCAGCCACCCCTGATGGACAAGCGACAGAAAAGCCTGCTGGGTGGCGGAACGGAGACGGGAATGTGTTTCTCGTCGGCAGCTGGTGCTGGGATGGGATGGTGCTCCTGGAAGGATGTGTTGTATCTGCCATGCGTGCTGCCGAGGATTTCGGTGTCAGAGTGCCTTGGGCCCAATCCTGACCGAGAGGATTGTCGATATTGCTGAGGAATTTAGGGCCTTGTATATCTATTAGTTATTTAGGGTTGCCTTTTTCTAGACATATTTCTAATATTTTCCTATTTTTATGAAAGATTTCAAAATGAATAGCGATGACCAATTATATAATTGCTCAAAAAAAGATGTTGATGTTGACTGCGTTATATTCATATCGTATCAACATAGCAGAACCCCTGTTTTCCCCAATGTTGTAGAAATCATAGACATGTCCGATGTGATGCTCCAAATGAATAGGGGGATAAGAAAATTTTTAACGTGAAAATACCATTGAGTATGGTAAAAGTATACAAAGAGGGAATGGGGGATTGACAAAATGGCGACCAAATCAGCCCGCCAGTCAGAAGAACCATTCCCAAGATAATCCTAAAAATATATTCCCTAGTTAGGCTTTGCCTTTCGCCTTTGGCTTCCGGCCTCTCTTCTTGGGAGCCTCCTCCTCTGACTCCTCAATATCATCGTCGTCATCGTCGTCTACCACCTTCTTCTTCTTGGATTTCGCCTTCGTGGTACCGGTTTTCTTTGCATTGCCGCCGGCTTTCTTGGTCTTTGCAGCCTTGACATATTTGTCCTTCTTCAAGTCCAAGTCGCTTTCTTCTTCTTTGACCTCTTCCTCTCCAAGGATTTCCTCAGCATCGTCAGATTCGTCGATGGCATCTTCCAAGTCTGGTTTCACTTTGGGAAGTTTCTTGGATGACACAACGCTCGATGCCTTCATGAACGGTAGAGGGTGAGAGCGTTGATTATATAGACGTGTAAAGGTAGCCTTCGTTTGAGACTGGATATTGATGTTCTTTTCGTTCATGGGGCCGAGACCAAGCTCGATAATAGAATCATAATCATCTTTGGTTAAGAAGTAGCTGTCCATGAAGTCAATAACGTCGTCGACAGCATCCTTCCCGTCAACTTCCATTCTTTTGACAGTCTTGTTCCATATCACGGGCATGTATTGTTGACGAATGTCGTGTCTGTCACCAGATGCACGAAGACGCATATGGCCCTGAATCTCCTTGACTTGTCTAGCCATTTTACCTGTGGGGAGAAACTGTGAGTAGACAAACATGCTAGATACCTGGGGTCCAGCAGCTTCTTACCTTGCTTACTGTTATTGCCCAGCCAGCTGGTAAACCCGACTCTGTCCGTCATATTTCCAGCCATGAAACTGGCTGGTCTCACAAAACTGAAGGCAGCATGTGTTGGCATAAGGCTCCACTGCTGCTGCGAGCCGTGGATCATTCTATCCACCAAATCACCGTCACTGATACTCTCTGCAGCCTTATCGGCCAACTCAAGAAGCTTGAACTGCCTCTCTTTGCCACTGTAGGAATTAGCTGCCATTGGGTTTGTTCGCAGGTAGTTCTCCTGTAGCATCAGATAGCTGAATTCATGATCGTTGAAATATAATTCAACCTTGTCGTTGAGTGTTGCCTTTGAACTGGGTGCAAACATCTGCGCACTAAGGATTTTCCCAACAATATCCCAAGGCTTAAGTATAACATGTTTCTCCCATGCTTTTGACATTTCTTTGCCTTGGTCGTAATCAAGGTTATTGGCACTCAATTTGATCGTTGACAGCATGTTTATCACTTGGCGGATATCGGCATGAGTTCCTTCAATAAGACCATCAAGCACCTGAGGAGGTATCTTTATGCCTTCTCGGTAGCAAATGGTAAACAACCGTGCACGGATTTGCTCTGCTGTTGGCCTCCTGAATGGTAACTCAAATGTGACATGATCGAAAGGTTTCATTTTCGGAAGTCTTCTCTCATTGCAGATCAGGATAATAGGAATCCTAGTTTTCTTTGCAATGGCAGCTACTGCACCAACACCACCACGGTCACCAGCAGACATTCCGTCAACTTCATCCATGATCAACACCAGATTCTTCTTCCCAGGCTCAACCTTCTTGCCTTCGCCAGAAAAGTAACCCTGAAGAGAGGTGGTGTCAAGTACTCCGCGCAAGGTGGTCTCCAGTAGCTTCTTACTTCGGGTATCACTAGCATTTGTCTCAACAATATCAAAGTTCTCCAGCTTTGCAACCAGGTGTGCAGCGGTCGTCTTTCCAATTCCAGGTGGGCCATGTATCATAACTGTGCGGTACGTCCCTGAGCCATCCTTTCCAGGCTTCTTGAAGTTGGCTCTCGCGTTTGCATGCCAGTTACGCAGCCAGGTTTGTAGCTTTTCGACAGTGCCCTTGTTTCCACATATCATGCTAAGAGATGTGGGTGCATATTTTGTGGTCCAGAGGCGGTCATCAACTGCCTCACGTTTATCACTAGCGTTCTTGTCTTTGGTTGCCGTGCCTGAACTAGGGGGAGCTGATGCTTTGGACTCAGCGGCACGCTTCTTTTCTTCCCGATCAATCTCAGCAGCCATCTCTTTAATTTTTTGCTCTTCCGCTTTCTTCTTTTCGGCATACTGCTGGGCTGCTTTTCCGTCACCTCCATTTGCAGGAAGTTTCCTAATCAATTCAAACAGTCCCCCCTCGTTGATTGTCTTAAGTTTATACTTCTGAATGGTTTCCAGTTTCTTCGGACCAGCATCATTACCCAATACCACATAACTTGTTTTTGAACTTGGAGCTGACATGCATTTTCCTCCGTACTTTTTCACGAGATTTTGTCCCTGTTCCCGCCCAAGGGAGTCAAGAACACCGGTAAAAACGAAAGAGAGTCCAGCAAGACAATTCGGCTCCCCGACTGGTAGGTCAGAATCGTCAATAGTACCACTGGATTGAGCGCGTTGAGCAGCCGCAACAAAGTTGAATTTCTTCGTCGCAGTTGGTGGTGACGGGGCTTTGACTTCGGGAATACTGTTAAGTATATCTTGTATCTCTTTGCTTTCTGGTTGGTCCGCTTTAGTTGCCCTAGGCTTTTTGGGTGTGGATTTAGAAGTGGTTTTGGGAGCGCGAGCCTTTGCCGTTTTCTTCTTTCCACCGTCATCCTCACCCTCCTCCTCTTCGTCTTCACTCAAGGCTGCTGACTTGCGTTTCTGAACCTTTCTTTCAAGTTCCGGAAGGGTGTCTTTTTTAGTTTTATCTGAATGTATGTCTGACGCTGTTGGGGGTTTCACGATCATATCATCAAAATCATCAGATTCATCCTCCTCCTGATAGTCATCGTCACCCTTTCCTGCTTTCTGAAATTCCGAGGCAAAAATGTCGTCTCCTCCAAGATGATCATCGGCATCAATTATCCGTTCAGCTCTCCGTGGTTTCTTGGTTTCTTTTGAAGGTAGTGGTGGAGGATGGATTTCAACGGAGGGTGCGGTTCTAGTGGATTTCCGTGGGCTCTCTCGCGTGGCTAGGACCTTCTTCTCCTGACCATTTGAGTTGGGCTTGTTATCTGGAGCTGCGTTCGGCTTGCGATTCCTTTTACTTGAGCTAAAGTACTCGGATGTGGTGGTAGGCTCGGTCTTTGGTTCTTCGGGTTTTCTATGCACATATGTGTTAGTGTTCTGTGTCAACAGTGGAAATCGCAAGCCATTACTACTCACGGCTTCTTCTTCGGTTGTGGTTTTGGGGGCACTTTAACGGTCTCCTCTTCTTCATCACTATCCTCAATGACTTTTCTACTTCCTAGACCACAGTTAGCATAATCCCAATGATAAGGCTTTCCATAAGAAATAGTATACTTCTTTTTCGGGGATTTGATTTGTCCTATTAAAAGTAGAATTTACCATCATCAGCGTCAAAAGTCCAATATCAAACTCATTGTCCTGGGGTATGTACCTCTGACTGCTTAGCAGCTGGTTTTGGTTTTGGCGCAGCACCCTGGCTCCCCTTGGGCCCAAAAAAATTTCTGATATCCGGTGCCATCCTGTCTACCACGTCAGAACACTGCAACCACCGTCAATAAGCTGTTTTGGCGTTCAATTTGTCTGCTCCAAATGTCCAATATACCAGCAAAAGAGAGAAACACGTCCGCTTTGGGTTGGCGTTTCCCTAGGACGCGCCAAAACACGTGATAAAATTAATAAGCTTATCTAATAAGGTTTGTGTGTTAGTAGGATTATGTAATCTAGACTTTGCAACTTCTGCTTGATCGCAAAATGGTGACGACGAGACAGCATTTCAACGCCGTTGTCCAGCCTGCACACACGCACCGATGGGGCCGTCATCAAGAGCATTCGGCCCATCCGGCCTATTTTCAATTCCATCGAGGAGTTAGTATGCCCTTCTCCACCACGCATTGTGGGGGATCCATAGCTAAACACATTCACCAGTATCATCGATATCAACCTCCGCGGCACGATGCTTTTCCACAACCTCCCCGGCATCCAACTGGCTGGTGCCTAAAGCGGCTGAGAAGAGCAAATCGTCAAAAGGCCGGCCTCATATGGCTACGGGTGGATCTTCTCGCGGAACAACGGTTGTTTGGGGAGACTACGGACTGCGAATGGTTGACCATGACCGAAGAATGCCCGCCTCGTCGTTAAAGATTGGATTCGAAGCAATTCAGAGACGTCTGAGAGGGATGAATTATAAGCTATACCCCCGAGTTAGCGCCAACATCGGTGTTTATACGAGTGGTAACGAAATGCGAATGGGAAAAGGAAAGGGTAAATTTGATTATTGGGCTGCGAGAGTCGGAGTTAGTCGAGTTATTTTCGAATTGAAAGGCGATATACACGAGAAGGTCGCCAGGGAGGCATTCAGACTAGCTGCTCACAAGATGCCTGGTATGTGAGATATTGGGGCGTTGTATTTTGTTCCTCTTGAAGGGAAGCTAACATTTCGGCAGGAATGTACGAGTTCGTGAAGAAAGGCGATCCTCCTGTTGTTGGAATTACCAAGTTAAAAGACGGCGTTACTCTAGAGTCCCTGAAGAGGCCACGACGAGCAGTTCCGCTCAATTCAAAACCAGCGACGACGTCAGAACCGGCTCCTCCTTCATAAAAACGTATCGATATACCCGCCGGCCGATGGAGTTGGATGTATATTAGCTGTAATTTAGACGTTTGTTAAAGTATAGAGCGTTTATCTCTTCCTTCTCTCCCATTCAAATAAGGCAGGAAAATGAGTAACATTGATCTGTATTCTCCAATATCATAATGGACATAAGATTTAGTAAATATGATACATGTATTCTCCTTCTACAAGCTCAATGCCGCCCGTACAACATTTATCATTTAAAAGTCGAGACCCATCAAATAACTATTAAACGTTAGCAGTTTGTACCAATTAAAAGTGAATACTGCTCAGAACGTACCTTTCAAGTATTCTCATAAACTTTGCTACAAAGGCTTCAAGGTGGAATATAACTTTCTGAACAGTAGCAGTATCTTGTCAGCACTGATTTCAAAAGAATTGGCATAGCATAGACGTACGCTTCCCATCTTTATTCTATGTTCGTAGAAGGCCGACCACTTAATAACTTCAGGTTTTAGCGCGTCGTCAATTTTGGGTATCAGTTTGAAGGTAAGGGTCTAGAGTAAAGTTAGCTTCAAATCGAAGCTACGTTAAAACTTTTGACTTATAGGTTGTGGAGATTACCTTTAGAATGGTAGTTGGTGGTATACAATGGGTCAGTAGATCATACAGCCTGGCTCTGACTTGGAGGATTCTAGCCGGCGATCTCTCCGCCATGATCTCATCAGCCACCACAGATATCAGTGCTTCCCAATCTGGTGGTGGAATTGGCGTGTTATCTGAAACTTTCTCACTATACAGTCGTCAGCAGTCACCCAGGCGGATGAGGGTGAAGATGGCTCCAACTCACTTTTGTGCATGAACAGCTTCAAACATCAATAAAGCTCGTCGCAGATTCCTTCCGCTCTCCTTGGCCAGTCGCTTGTTAAGTCCAGGACAATCATTCCAGCCTTCTTTCTTCCCGGCTAGCTTCAGAACTTGGCATATATCGTCTTCAGAGGGAGCAGGTACCCGGACTAGCAGTGTTCTTGATCGAATTGGAGCAATAATATTGGCAGTAGTGTTGGCAAGCAGAATCAATCGCATGTTTGGACTGTATTTTTCCATGGTTCTTCTTAGTGCCGCCTGGGCATCTCTGGTAAGATGGTCTGCCTCATTTATAACCACGACCTTGAACCGCTGTTTGGCAGATTGATCTACCTGCTGCGTCTGCGCTATTTCCTTGAGAAGCTCCTGGACAACGACACGGTCGTAAGTCCCCACATCCGATGGCGTGAGTTCAAGGTGATATATGGAGGAGACAATGTTGAATTCGAGCTTGCGGTTACTGCTGGTCTGGAACACCCGGGCATCTATCTTGATTTTCTCGACACCCGGTCCATATAGCTCTTTGAGTGTGGCAATTATCCTGGTCTTTTTTCCTGCACCAGACGGTCCATAGACAAGAAGATGGGGGAAATCACCGCTTTGCGCCTATGTCAAGTGAGGTCAGCATTGCATGTCCACTAAATTCAGTCCTCACTGGTCTCATACTAGAGCTCTAAGCCGGGCTGAAAGATCTTGGTGATAGGTAAGTGCATCGAGGGTTTTAGGCCGCAGCCTGTCAACGAGAAGTGCCATGGTATGTCTGTGATCTGTTGGTGGTTGAGCTGTTTCTTCTGTCCTTATGATTTCTCTCCACCATTAACGAAAGCTTCGGGCGCGTCAAAAGAAGCGCGTTTTCCTATTAGCACTTTGTGGCCCGTGCGGAGTGCTGACTAACGCGCCGTTTGGATGACATAATCAACTATCGGCTCTTACTCTCTCGCATGGCGTGAAATGCATAAGGAGAATATGCATGTCTGATAGACCTCTCACACCAAAGGGCAGTATTACAATTTGTAGCTCCGTAGATTATGGGGATATTGGCCCAAACTGAGAATAGCTTGTTCTAATCGCCTTATCTATACATATAAAGTATACATGCCCTATCTGGGATTTGTTCATGTCGTGAGAGGAGACCCCTTTATCCAAACGCCAAAGATGCAGAATAACCCTATAAATTGCTGTGGGTACAGTAGATCCTTTTTGGTACATTTTTCTTAACAGCACTTGGAGCTTCTCGAGTTGAAATCCATATCAACTGTTTCGCTATTGAAGACGGCCTAAGGTGTAGGCCTTAGAATGCCATCTTTGTCATATCGAGCTTCTACAAAGGGACACTCATTTAGCACAAATACTCAAAGAAAAAGTTATCAGGGAATGGATGAGGAGAAGGGTTGGTTGACATACTAAAGAATGTATATGATAGTGTGATGGTGTCAATTCCTCTCATGGCAGGATCCTTGGCGAAATCTGGATCAATAAAGAAGAAGACGGGCATATCAACAGTTTCTCCAGCATTCAGTCTCTGCTCCTCAAAGCAGAAGCATTGAATCTTGCTGAAATATGGCGAAACCTGAGCTGGAGTCACACTGTACGTTGCGACGCCGATGATATCCTGGTCACCTTTATTCGAAGCGGTATAAAAGGCCAATGCCGTTTCTCCGGGAAGAACTCGCACTTCTCGCTGCTGGGGAGTGAATTTCCAGGGTAAAACATCAGATACGGAAGCATTGAATGTTATTCGAAGACGGCGAGAGTCTGTGACGGGAGTAACGCGAGACCCCGTATCGGTGTTTGTGAGATGTGTTGAGACAGGTTGTCCATTCCAACCGGTTTGTTGGCATATCTGGAGAATTAAATATGGTAAGCATCGACTGAGAACGGGCAGGTTGAGGCCGTCAAACCATTTTATACATGGGCACAGAGCCATATGCGACTGCAAGAGTTCCGATGATGATGCTAATTGTATAGTACCTAAAGAAGAGAAACATATTAATATATAAACTCGAGGAAATTTATAGCTTCCCACTTACATTGTAGATGTATTCTTGCTATCCCATTTCAAATTCCGCGGGCTGGCTGGAGCCGTTTGCTGCCGCAACGGAGTTTGACTAGCAAAGCCTCGAGTCGGTATTCGGCATCTTGACATGCCAGCCATCTTGATTGCATTTGCAGCGCGTATGCCGACTGCCGGCCGAGCCCATAGTGACATTAACCGCTCCATTGCAAGCTATGTGGCCGGCTTCAATTAACTATGTCGACGCTGCAGCATCTCAGCCGATGTTGGTTTCACTGAAGCTTTGTGCTTATGTAATCCATGCTATAGCCGGCGTTTAGCTAGCGCCGAATCGCCATAAGCGACGAACCGCGAGTCTATGCTCTTTGGACAATATATATATTATTACATTTATTACATTTTTTTTCCTATTTATACAAACCCCAATCATGATCCTTGGATGCACTGTATGTGACTTTCATGATGAGATTTCATGCCTACCCTAATACCCAAGCCAGACAAGCTTGAATACCCGGGTGACTATTTATCCTCGTCAAAATCATCAACCGACCAGAGCAAATGTTTCTCGGTCGTCTCTTGGTTATATTTGTTATCCGAGACTGAAGCGATTACCATCTCCTTGAATTCCTTTGCTCTTGCAACAGCATCATCAATCTCCCAACGGTAGCCTGCGCTGGTGAATGTTTTCTGCTTGAATATATGGCTTGGGTATCAACCAAGAGCGATACAGTGACGTGGGTTAAAGTGGTTTGTAATTTCAATGTATTAAAAGTGTAAGTGTTGCATTCGAAGCTGCTTAAGCGCAGCAGAACGTTCATCAGGGCTCATTCACCAAAGTATCTAGTAACTTAGGTGAGTGGTTCCTCATCCGCGTGGTTCCGAATAGAATGTGTAATCTCCCTGCGAGGAAAATGGGAAGTGCAGAACAGGGTTACCAGTCTATCAGACCAAAAATGTCGAGGTCACAAAGATGTTGTCCGGTTGGAGATCAGGGTGGCACAGTATCGTCGGCCTATATAGGATCTTGTCCTGAAGGACAAGGTAAAGCACGAGTTTTCCAAATACTTCTTAAGTGTTTCAGCATACCTTTCAGGCTCCCATGTCTGATAATTGGTAGCTTCCCCTGTATGCTCGTTCTAATGGATAACATGGGTTGGCGGGCGGTTTCAGCCATGCTAATTCTTCCTTTGTCACAGTCTCCATACACTGGGCGGCACTCAGGTCTGAGATAGTTATAAACAGTTAGAAGACTTCATCTGGATATTATGGTTAATTTGATTTGGAAATGAATTACGCGGACGACGATCGATGCCCTAAAGCAGAGATCTCTCCGCATACTCGACTTCCAAGATACGCCCGGTCCAACGTAGGTTTCCGGTCGACCGGAGGCATCGTTGCCCGAGACACGTATACAGCGATAACTATTATTCAAATCCGGGGTAGATCACGACCGTAATATATATGCTACCCACGGCACTGGGGGGGTGGGGGGATGGCAGAGAACCTGGCCTCAAGCTGGACCAAGCCCATCAAGCCCCTCCTCTTAACCGTTGCTTTTCTGAAATGATATACCATGAATTCCAGAAGCTCCATTGAAGCTCTCCATGTAAATGTATTTGGCTCCCACAGAATTATCGGCATCAGCAGAGTAACAATGCCATGAGAGCGAAGCAGGTCCAACGTCACAACTTCGCTCACAACAGCAAGGCGTTCGGGACCTTATAAGGATACGGAAGCCGGGCGAGAATCCAAGTGTCGTCGCCATTGCATCACGACTTCAAAGACACGGTCAAACCCGCCCTCCGTGAACGCGTGAAGCTTTTGGTATCAGATTCATGCCGGTTGACAGAAGCAGCGCTGCGCTGTCTATTTATGAAACACTGACAAGCACCGGCCAGACATGTCCTCACATCAGTCACGACCCATCCCATCTGGCCTGGTCACCCTCCCAACAGCTGCGCAGGAGCTAACGGAGCGCATTCCAACTGCCTACTGGCAGATGGCGCTCGGGATAGTTCGGTAAAACATGTCCACGCCACGAAAAGGGCCGGCCTCGCATTAGAGCAGTTCCTGCTTGCAGCCCTCCCATACTTGTCTCGCTTATTAGCCCTCGAGGCCAAAGACATACTGTTGGTCGCAGCTCTCCTTGATCCTATAGAGAGCACGATGCCTGTACTCCGTTGCTACTAACATTTGCATAACTAACGACTTACTAGTTAGTTCACTAGTTAACTTATTGATCTGCAGTCGGCGGCTGGTTCACCCACGAAATACGGAGTACCACTAGCATAATTAATCGATAGATGCCTCATGATGTATTGCAGCTAATTTTATACAAGCACGGTCGTCCCATATAGGCTGTTAATAATAAAAAAAAAAAAAAAATTACCAGCTCGGCGTAGTGATCGGGTGGCAGCTCTGTTTATTCACACACAAAATCTCCTTGCCAAAACATACTAAATTGGCAGCCTTTGACCCTTGGGTGAAAATGATGCACTCGCTGTTCCATTGGTCTTAAACGGGTTTTAGTTAAGTATATACTTTCTTCAGAGAAACATTTAATAAGGGCTTTCCCGCTAGTTAAAGCTCTGTCTGGTCAAAGTTCCCCTGCGTCTGGGGCGGCTTGGGTGTCCCGCAACCTTGCCCTTGCAATTTACACAAGCTCAATATGGCAGAGTGGAAGGTTCCCCTAATATATCTACAACCTAGCCTATAACATCATTTGTATAACTAAACACCGAATTCTAGGCTCAGCATGGGCCCCGTAAAATAAAGGGTGAGTTAAGGGGGGGTAGGACAGGGTTAGTGGTAAGACTTGAGCAATGCCCCTTAAGTGTCAAAACCAGGATATGAGCAATATATTGGTTGCATGAAATAGAAAAGCCATGCAGACAGCATTGTGACGAATCCCAAAAAAGATGATTTTCAATAGTAAAACGTAAATTCCAAAAGAGTGCTTCTCAAGGTTCCCATTATATATGTGCATGTGTAACTATGTATTAAAAGAATGTGCGTAATAAAACAATTTTCGAGTTCATAATGACTCCAGACGGTCACCCAGCGCGTCAAGCAGATCAGTAATCAGAAGCGTTCAACCTCACTGAAGCTACGCCTCGTCCCTGAACTGGGGTCAAACGACTGGGAGGATGTGCCTTGATGCACCCTAGGCAATGAAAAGTGCATTTCCATGGCCACCCTTCCAGAGCGTCACCGTAGCAGAGCTTACTCTGCCGTCATACCCTCACAAAATTTCCATTACCGTAAGAGTTCAACTCTACGTGATGGAATTTATTGCGCGGGGCGGTACCAGTTGGCCTGGGGGTCTCCCAAGCACTCTCCGACAGTGACAGCTAAATTGTTAAAATGTTAGCTTGGATCATTCAATCTATGGACGAAACAGGGAAACGACTTACCTCTCAAACCTCTCTTCTTGATCTCATCCAAGAGCTGCTGGATCAAGAGCTCAACAGTAGTCTGGTGGACGTCGTGGCAGAGGGTGATAGTGCCACCGGCCTCGAGACCCTTCTTGAAGTTTTCAACACTGATTGGCACGCCGTCAGGAGTGGCATGCTCGTAGTCTTTGGTGTCAATGTTGGCATCAATCATGTGGTACTTGAGTTCAGCCATGGTCTTGGAGACAGTGTCGCTGTAGGCGAAGTATGGAGCACGCATATAAGTTGGTCTGTTTCCATCAATGATGGGAGCAAGGATATCGTCAAGCTTCTTCATCTCAAGGGCAATTCCAGTAGAGTTGAGCTTAGAGAGATCGGCATGAGAATAACTGTAGTAGATGTTATCAGCGATTGAGTTCGCCCATTGGAAAATCAACTGACGGATAAAACTTACGTGTGAGAACCAAGCATATGACCTTCCTTGTACATGCGCTTGATAACATCCGCATAGTCCATGATGTTTCCAAAGTTCATGGCGTTGACGAAGAAAGTACCCTTAGCACCATTCTTGGCGAAGATATCAAGAAGAGGCCCGGTGTAGTCGTATGGGCCATCGTCAAAGGTGAGAGCAATGGTGCCATTAACAGTGCATTGGTTAATGACGGTTCCGAATGGGATAGTGCCAGGCATGGGGGGAACGCCTGTTGGTACTCCAGTTGGGACACTGGTGCCGGTAGGAGCTACAGTCGGATCAGCTGTTGGCGTCATTGATGGGAACGTGGTTGGAACGTCTGTCGGGACAACTGTTGGCTCAACGGTTGGAGTGGTTTCTGGTGGGTAGGTTCCGCTTGGCTCCGTTGGGGGAACTGTTGTAGGTTCTGGAGCCATAGTTGGAACTGCAGTCGGCTCTGGCTCTGGCTTTGGCCAGTGTGGTTTTGGCCAGTGTGGTTTTGGCCAGTGTGGCTTTGGGAATGGCCAGTGTGGCCTGGGATGGTGCGGTCTGGGGCGGTGTGGATGCCATGGCCACCTACCAGGAGTGCGCTCAATAATAGAATTGGATTGCTGTCCTTGCAGCGGAATAGCCGCTACGCAGCAAGCGAGTGCAGCTGTGATGAAGAGAGTGAAGAGCCGGCACAGCATTTTGTCTGTGTATAAGAGTACTATATATACAATACCCCCAGAAGTATGTAATAGAAGAGATAACGAACGGGAGGGAGTGATCGATCAACGAATGCAAGTAAAAACGAGAGTATGGTATGCACCAAACGAATGTAAATGCTATAGACAAGAGGGCTAAAGGTCTATAACATCGAAATGGTGGTTATATAGAAGTAGGTATCAGGGGGATGTTCCCTCGGGTTATATATCTCTGACCGGCCCTGGACGGTACCTTGCTTGACCGGACAAGGCGCGAGGACGTCGCACGTCAGAGATAGACAGATCTCGGTCTCCGCCTGGATCGATCGACTAAGGCCGGAGCCATGCTTTTTTTGGTCGAAATGCAAGGGGAATGCCGGTCCAACTTTTCGGACACGAGCGTGCCTTGCAGTGCTTGGGCAGACGGATGGAGCTTCAGATGCTTGGCCACCACCAACTGAATGGCCACCGCACCAGATTTTTAGCGATGAAGAATAGAGCAGATCACACAAAAAAATGCGAGTGCTAACTAGTTACTCGTGTACTCTGTACGAAGGACTTGGGACCGAGCCTCTTGCGGCTCATTGTATCGGTCTTGTTTCAAGAAAAGTG